ACGGCACACGAGGGGGTGGGTGGACAGCACCACGCCCGGCCGCCTTTGTCTCCCCCAGTGGCGATGTTTACTACACACCGCACCGGGTGCTCATTTGAGGCTGAGTCGACCTAGGGGAGGCCCAGGTACCGGTTCAGATAATCGTCACCGGTGTTGGCCGTGAGCGGGAATCGAACCCGGGTAGCCAGGTTCGTAGCGCAGCTCACTAATCGCTACATCACCGCTCCCCAAAGGCAAAGATCCCCCGTATAGCCTGAACAGACTGTAGGGGCAAGTGCTGTTAGCGAGCACCTATGAAGGCCGGCACGCCACAGGAGGGAAGTGGGTGGCCAACACGACGCCTGGCCGCCTTTGTCTCCCAAGTAGCAGATGTTTACACACCGCACCAAGTACTCATTTAAGGCTAAGTCGACCTAGGGGAGGCCCAGGACCGGTTCATGGTGTTGGCCGTGATCGGGAATCGAACCCGGGCCGCGAGGTTTCGTAGCGCAGCGTAGCGCTCACCGCTCCCCAAAGACAAAGATCCCCCGTGCAGCCTCTAACAGACGGTTGGGTCAAGTGCTGTTGTCGAGCACCTATAAAGGGCGAAACGGCACACGAGGGGAGAACAACGACAACAGCCATTCGCCACTAAGTGACAGTGACGTCACCACGACGCTTGTGCCAGGCTAGGTGCACGTTGAGGCCACGTGAAGTGTCGAACGCTCGCTGGCAGGAGGTCACGGGGCAGACTCAGCAGGTGCCACGGGTCGACTGACTGAGATGACCGAGATGACTGGCTGATGCACCACCTGTGCCCACTACTGTGCCAACTTGCTGTGCTTTAGCCACCCGGTGCTCCACTCGTTGTTGTGAGCGTCGCTCCTCCGCTCTCCGTTGTTGTTGGAGGGCGACTGCCTCCAACTGCCCAGTAGCAGCAGCGTCCTTCACGAGCCTCCTCCACAGAGGCCGATCTTGACACCGCTGGTACCGGTCATTGGCAAGTCCACTCAGCTCCACGTCCTCCTGTACCACATCACTCCATCTTTTCTCTAGCCCGTGCCGCGCCTGTTTAGCCCTCTCGATCCGACCGAACAAAAGCTGTTTAGGCATGCGGTGGCTGGGCATGCGGGCTACATGACCCAGCCAACGCAGCCTTGCCTGCCGGAGGAGCTCACCGATGGGACGTTGTCCAGATCTTTCAAGGATTTGTGAGCTCCTCACACAATCCAGCCTGGTTAAACCCAGGATGGATCGTAGGCAGGCCAGCCTAAATGTTTCTCACCAACGAAGATGTTCCATTACGGGGGTCCACGTTTCGCAAGCATAGAGAAGGGAGGGAATGACTGTGGCCGAGAAGACCTGAAGCTTCATGCGGAAGCGACAGACCAGGTAGCTTCCACACAGTGTTACGCAACCGATAAAAAGATAATGCCGCTCGACTGATTCGGAGTGAGACCTCTGCTGTCAAACCGGAGCCGGTCATGAGCACACTGCCCAGGTATGGGAAACTCTCCACTCTCTCCACAACTGCCCCATAAATTGGGTGTTGTGGGGGTGGAGTGTCCGATAGTACAAAATACCCAGGCAGGTGCTTCGTTTTGGTGGGGTTGATGGTAAGGCCCCACCTCGTAGTGGCACACTCCAAGTTCAGCAGCAGCGCCTCAAACTCCTCCTGTGAATGAGCAGTAATTACCAGGTCATTGGCATACATAACATGATTTAAAGCTTTCGTGACTGCAGGGATTCATCTTCTTGGTTCTTTCGAAGATACATAACATGGTTGAGCAATAGGGAGCCATCCCTTGACCAGACCCGGGCATCGATCAGCCTCCCATTGTACCAGATGGAAATTCCTCCAGTACAGCAATCGAAGGCTTCACGAACTACGTGGTTGAAATAGATATTAAATAATGTGGGAGCCAGAGGACATCCCTATCACACCCCAAGGTGAATAGGGAAACTCTGACTCCCGACCACGTAGTTTTACCCTGGCCCGCTCACTATCATGAAGGTCCTTAATGATCGTGAGCAGAAAGTCAGGGACTCCGAAAGCACGAAGAACAACCCAAAGCCCAGGCCTACTGATGGTATCATAGGCCTTGACCAGGTAAATAAAGCACCCAACAGGCTGACTCTATCCCGAGGGGCCACTTTAGCTCGCACCTGTGACAGGAGGTCATAGAAGGCATCTGACTCCATCGGCCTTGCCTGCATCCCTCCACGGATGTTCGTCTTCGGTGGGGGCATAAGTAACCACGACCACCACTCCTCACCTCCGGTTGATGGGAAGGCGAGCCCAAAGTAGCCTGGGGCTTACAGCTTCCCACACCTCACCGCCACACTCCGACACCCCTTCATTCTTTTGTTCAGAAGAAAAGCCACTCCCTGTTGTTTGGCAGTCTCCTGTCCCGAGTAGAGGACTGTCCACCCCTCATGGTGGCAGGAGCCAGAGCCGGTCCACCGGACCTCCTAAATACTAAAGAGATCCAGGCGGTACCGTTTCAGCTCCCGACAGAGGAGTGGCAGCCTCTCCTCCGCAGTGAGCGTTCGAACATTCAACGTGGCCACTCGCAGTAGTTTTTTGCTGTTTCTGGAGGAACTCCGAGGGTAAGGATTCAATCTCCTGGCTCCGCCAAATGGGGTTTGGCCAGGAGACGTCATGTCGCCCGAGGGCCTCCGGCACTAGCTTAATTAGATTTTTATTCTGTGGTAATGCCAAAACGTCGTTGAAACGCACGCTGCACCGCAATTACGGATTCAGTCTTGCTGAACTGCAGAACGCGAAACTCCCCTTGTGTGTTGCGAGGTCGCCATCTTGCGAATGACTGAGGCTAGGGGCTGTTTGTGCGCTGGGAGAGGCATCCAGCGGTCATCATTGTGAAGCTCTATGCCCCGCCCCCTCTATGCCCCGCCCTCTCTATGCCCCACCCTCTCTATGCCCCACCCTCTCTATGCCCCGCCCCCTCTATGCCCCGCCCTCTCTATGCCCCGCCCCCTCTATGCCCCACCCTCTCTATGCCCCGCCCTCTCTATGCCCCTCCCTCTCTATGCCCCGCCCTCTCTATGCCCCGCCCCCTCTATGCCCCGCCCTCTCTATGCCCCGCCCCCTCTATGCCCCGCCCTCTCTATGCCCCTCCCTCTCTATGCCCCTCCCTCTCTATGCCCCGCCCACTCTATGCCCCTCCCACTCTATGCCCCGCCCACTCTACACCCCGCCCTCTCTATGCCCCGCCCTCTCTATGCCCCTCCCACTCTACACCCGCCCTCTCTATGCCCCGCCCTCTCTATGCCCCGCCCTCTCTATGCCCCTCCCTCTTTATGCCCGCCCTCTCTACACCCCGCCCTCTCTATGCCCCGCCCTCTCTATGCCCCTCCCTCTTTATGCCCCTCCCTCTCTATGCCCCGCCCACTCTATGCCCTTCCCACTCTATGCCCCGCCCACTCTACACCCCACCCTCTCTATGCCCCGCCCTCTCTATGCCCCTCCCACTCTACACCCCGCCCTCTCTATGCCCCGCCCTCTCTATGCCCCGCCCTCTCTATGCCCCTCCCTCTCTATGCCCCTCCCTCTCTATGCCCCACCCACTCTATGCCCCTCCCACTCTATGCCCCGCCCACTCTACACCCCGCCCTCTCTATGCCCCGCCCTCTCTATGCCCCGCCCTCTCTACACCCCGCCCTCTCTACGCCCCTCCCTCTCTGTGCCCCGCCCTCTCTATGCCCCGCCCTCTCTACACCCCGCCCTCTCTACGCCCCGCCCTCTCTATGCCCCGCCCTCTCTATGCCCCGCCCTCTCTACACCCCGCCCTCTCTACGCCCCTCCCTCTCTGTGCCCCGCCCTCTCTATGCCCCGCCCTCTCTACGCCCCGCCCTCTCTATGCCCCGCCCTCTCTATGCCCCTCCCTCTCTATGCCCCGCCCTCTCTATGCCCCGCCCTCTCTATGTCCCGCCCTCTCTACGCCCCTCCCTCTCTATGCCCCTCCCCCTCTATGCCCCTCCCTCTCTATGCCCCTCCCTCTCTATGCCCCGCCCTCTCTATGCCCCTCCTTCTCTATGCCCCTCCCTCTCTATGCCCCTCCCCCTCTATGCCCCTCCCTCGCTATGCCCCTCCCTCTCTATGCCCCTCCCTCTCTATGCCCCGCCCCCTCTCTATGCCCCTCCCTCTCTATGCCCCTCCCCCTCTATGCCCCTCCCTCGCTATGCCCCTCTCTATGCCCCACCCTCTCTATGCCCCGCCCCCTCAAGTGGTAAGAGTTTCATTCATGGGCGGTTCGTGGTTGCAGAGATATCGCGATTTCAAATTGGGTCCATCTTTTTGAACTCTGTCATGCATCGGCGGAATCTAACTTCTGTGTTTGACGGGGGTTGGGGTTCGCTTTGTCCCACACGTTTGGGCTCGCGGGTGCATGCAATTGATTCATGCTTAATCTTGATTGTAAAGTTTTGAAAATAAATTAATGTGTCCAGTTTGGAGGGCATTGCCCCCCGCCCATGATTCTACGTATTTGTTTTGAGTGACTTGCATAAAGTATTATTTGGGTCTTTCGGTAAAGTCACGTTGATAGGTTGAAAGAAAATAAAAATAACAAATGAGGAGAGATGATGACGATCGCTTATGTTGTGATCGAAACGTCGTCGTTTCAGTTATTTTATTTCAACCAATCTACGTGACTTTACCGAAAGACCCAAAAAATATGAATTCCTACAGTCACGAAAGCTTTAAGTCAAAATTGCATACAGTAATGTTTTTTGTCTACTTTGCACTCTTATCGGTTTATTTTTTTCTGCACTGTTTGTTGTAACTTTCTGAATCTCCCGCCATGACCCCCTACCAGAACATCTGTAAGGAGGGGAAAAAATATATAGAACTTTACAGCTCATCGGATTTCTGCAGCATTAAAAAACAAATTCAGATTCTAACGAAGCAACAGCATCGATTCCTGAATCGACCCGGTCCGTTAAAACCTTCCCGCTCACATCGATTTTCGGAATCGATTCCTCCACCCCCTCCCCCTCCACCCCCACCGCTCAACATCCATCATGGCGGCGCGCAGGAGGCAACACGTGTCCGTCGCCGCGAGTGCGATGAACGCGGCCTCGGTCTCGTCTCCCCCGGCTCCCCTGGCTCCCTCGGCTCCCCCGGCTCCCCTGACGACTCCCCGGGCTCTGAGAGGAGACGACGATGATGATGATGAGGAGGAGGACGATGAAGGGGACGCCCCCGAGGAGATTTCCCAAGGAGTGGCTCGCGACCGGGCGATGCGCAGCCTCAAGGAGGCGGAGGATTCCAGGAAGAAGTGAGTTGGTTCACCTCGTGCGCGCCGTCTCGCCCCTAGGTCGGCTCGGCATTGAATGATTGTAGTGAGCCGGCGTGGGGCGTGTGGTTGCCTCGGCCTTCATAGGTGCTACTCGCTAACAGCACTTGCCCCTATAGTCTGTTGAGGCTATACGGGGAATCTTTGTCTTTTTCCATTCTGTAAATTTACCTCGTCCCCCAGGTCGACTCCGCCTTAAACATTTAGTTTCATTCGGCTCTCGATGCGCGCTGAGCAGCAGGGAATGTGCGAACAATACAGCGTCCTCGTCGTGGGTGTCTCACGCCTAGGTCTACTCAGACTGAAATTCTGACCTCATGGTGCGACCCGGCATGAAGTCCGTATTTGTAACTAACTGACCGCGGTGCCCCGATTGGACATTCGTGGCAAAGAGCTTCATGGCTCATCGGATTCCCCCAGAATTAATAATGATTCTGACGGTATCGCCTGCTTGTCGGGATGTACCCGGCCGGGTACCCGTACCCGGCCGGGTACGGGTACCCGGTTGCGACCTCTGGTACTGCACCTGATACGGTATGTACACAAAGCTGACCCATCCCTTCGCTTGCCGTGGGCAGCCTTCACAGGTGTTGTACTGCACTGGTACCTCATTTGCCAGTAAAAAATATGAATTGTTTTTTTTTTACCCTTTTATCTGGCAACAAAACTGACACCTTTTTTTCAACTTCACGGACAGTGCATACATTATCAGAGTTGTGTTTTTTGTTTGCATTATGACTGCAGGTATTGTGGCCTATGCAAACATGACTCCTCGTAAAAAAGGTGTCAGTTTTGTTGCCAGATAGAAGGGTAAAAAAACAATTATATTTTTTACTGGCAAAGGAGGTTCCAATGGTGTAAATGCTTACCCCGAGCTCTCATACTGTGATGGTGCATTGTCTTGGAGTTATGCGCCTTTTGGCGTCATCTGGTCCAACACCATGTGAGACTAGGCTCTAAGGAAAGCTGTCTCGGGTGTGGACCAATCAACTTCAAGGACAGTGCATACATGATCAGAGTTGTGTTTTTTTTTGCATTATGACTGCAGGCATTGTGGTCTATGCAAACACGACTCCTCGTAAAAAAAAGTCAGTTTGTTGCCAGATAAAAGGGTAAAAAAACACAATTCACAGGTGTTGTACTGCTCGCTGTTTGTGTTGTCCGCCAGGGAGAAGGCCGATGTGAAAGAGAAGAGGCGGCACAAACATGAACTCTACAAAGAGCAGAAGGTCGGTGTCACGACGACGGGCAACTCCTCGTGACGGCTACAGACGTGGTCACGTTTGGTGTTTAAGAGGAAGCCAGTTGGGTCGAACAAGTTAACATGCAACATTAGCACTCACCACCACTACACTCACCACCACTACACTCACCACTAGCACACTCACCACTAGCACACTCACCACTAGCACACTCACCACTAGTACACTCACCACCACTACACTCACCACTAGTACACTCACCACTAGCACACTCACCACTAGCACACTCACCACTAGTACACTCACCACCACTACACTCACCACTAGTACACTCACCACTAGCACACTCACCACTCGCACACTCACCACCACTACACTCACCACTAGTACACTCACCACTAGTACACTCACCACTAGCACACTCACCACTAGTACACTCACCACTAGTACACTCACCACTAGCACACTCACCACTAGCACACTCACCACCACTACACTCACCACTAGTACACTCACCACTAGTACACTCACTAGTACACTCACCACCACTACACTCACCACTAGTACACTCACCACTAGCACACTCACCACTAGTACACTCACCACCACTACACTCACCACCAGTACACTCACCACTAGTACACTCACCACTAGTACACTCACCACTAGCACACTCACCACCACTACACTCACCACTAGTACACTCACCACTACACTCACCACTAGCACACTCACCACTAGTAAGAGTATTTGGCTGCTTTAAATGTACACGCGATAAGCCACTTCATTGAGCTATCATTTGTGGCCAGGTCGCTTCTTCAAAAGATCTATATAGCTCAGTGGGCCTTAGCTGATAAAATAAAATAAAAGTTTTAATAAATCTTGATTTAAAGCTTTCGTGACTGCAGGGATTCATATTCTTGGTTCTTTCAGTAAAGTCACGTAGAAGGGAAATAATAAAATAATATTTATGTATTGTTTTATATACATTTTTATTGTTTTATATCAATATTATTTTATTATTTCCCTTCTACGTGACTTTACCGAAAGAACCGAGAATAAAAAAGTTTAATAGTTTAGTTTAATAGATGTCAATTACGATGATCCATGAAGGCGAGCAGGTGAAGGCTGTTCTGCACACAGTAGGATGCATGACTTAACACGCGTGTGCATATTAACACGCGTGTGCGTGTTAACACGCGTGTGCGTGTTAACACGCGTGTGCGTGTGAATCAGATGTCACAAATTGATGCGTAATTTTTTAGGAGCTGCCGTTGTGAAAATGTTCTGCGCGTGTGTCCAAGCAGAAAAGAAAGATGCTGTCTGAAGATATTCTGAAGGCGGTGGACGAGGCAAAAAGCAGGTGAGTGTGTGAGAGTGTGTTTATGTGAGAGTGTGAGAGTGTGTGTGTGAGAGTATGTGTGTGAGCAGCCACAGAGGGGAGCGGTGGCGCAGTGGTTAGCGCGCTGCACTACGGACCTGGCGACCCGGGTTCGATTCCCGCTCACGGCAAACACCAGTGACGATTATCTGAACCGGTCCTGGGCCTCCCCTAGGTCGACTCAGCCTCAAATGAGTACCTGGTGCGGTGTGTAAACATCGCCACTAGGGAGACAAAGGCGGTCCGGCGTCGTGCTGGCCACCCACCCCCTCGTGTACCGTTCCGGCCTTCATAGGTACTCGCTAACAGCACTTGCCCCTACAGTCTGTTAAGGCTATATGGGGTATCTTTATATTTGTTAGTGCAATGGGAGGCTGATCGATGCCCGGGTGTGGTCAAGGAATGGCTCCCTATTGGTCAACCATGTTATGTATGCTGATGACCTGGTAATTGCGGCTCACTCAGAGGAGGAGTTGGAGGCGCTGCTGCTGAAACTGGAGTGTGCCACTAAGAGGTGGGGCCTTACCATCAGCCCCACTAAAACTAAGCACCTGCCTGGGTATTTTGTACCATCGGGCAACAACTCCCAATCGGTAATGGGGCAGTTGTGGAGAGAGTGGAGAGTTTTCCATACCTGGGCAATGTCCTCATGACCAGCTCCGGTTTAACAGCAGAGGTCTCACTCCGAATCGGTCGAGTGGCATTATCTTTTCATCGGCTGCGTAACGCTGTGTGGAAGCTACCTGGTCTATCACTCCGCATAAAGCTTCAGGTCTTCTCGGCCACGGTCATTCCCTCCCTTCTCTACGCTTGCGAAACGTGGACACCCCTAATGGAACATCTTTGCCGGTTAGAAACATTTAGGTTGACCTGCTTACGATCCATCCTGGGTTTAACCAGGCTGGATTGTGTGAGGAGCTCACAAATCCTTGAAAGATGTGGACAAAGTCCCATCGGTGAGCTCTGGCAAGCAAGGCTGCGTTGGCTGGGTCATGTAGCCCGCATGCCCAGCCACCACATGCCTAAACAGCTTTTGTTCGGCTGGATCGAGGGGGCTAAACGGGCGCGGCACGGGCTAGAGAAGAGATGGAGTGATGTGGTACAGGAGGACGTGGAGCTGAGTGGACTTGCCGATGACTGGTACCAGCGGTGTCAAGATCGGCCTCTGTGGAGGAGGCTCGTGAAGGACGCTGCTGGGCAGTTGGAGGCAGTCGCCCTCCAATAACAACGGAGGGTGGAGGAGCGACACTCACAACAACGAGCGGAGCGCCGGGTGGCTAAAGCACAGCAAGTTGGCACAGTAGGGGGCACAGGTGGTGCATCAGCCAGTCATCTCAGTCAGTCGACCTGTGGCATCTGGGTCTGCCCCGTGACCTGCCAGCGAGCGTTCGACATTTCACGTAGCCTCAAGGTGCACATAGCCAGGCACAAGCGTCGTGGTGACATCACCGCCACTTAGTGGCGAATGGCGGTTGTTGTTGTTGTGAGTGCGCGGTAGCTAGGAGACGTTAACACCATCGGCTGGTCTATTTGAAGTATGCGTATTGATATCATGGTGGTTGGGTGGATTTCTTTTTCTCTCCGGGCCCTCCGGTTTTTCCCTCCACATTTAGAATCAACGTCACGCGTTTAGAGTCTTTGGCTGCTATTAATGTTCACATGATGATGATGACGAGCCACTTCGTTGAGCTATAATATTGGTAGGAACCTCCTGGTTACACCAGCCCACAGGAGATTATTGTGTCTGTCGTGCAGGCTGGGTGGGGAGGGTGGGGAGGGGCTGGGTGGGGAGTCTCAAGACACTTTTTTTCCCCAAGAGGGTCCTGCTGCGTTGAGATATGGGGCCAATTCCGTTGGTTGAGAGTTTGGCTTCGCGTGGGAGGAAACCGTGAGAACTCGGAGAAAACCCAGCGACGGCGGTGGTCGCCGCCTCTCCTCTGCCACTTGCACCGTCTAGACAACAACGTCTTAGTTGAAAGAGCGCGTGGGTGTGGCGTGTAAGTGACGATTTCTCTCTGCTCTCTTGTGTCTTGCAGGAAGGCTGCAGGTCCCACCAAGGCAAAGCTGAGCGGTAACCGCGTGTTCATTCTGCCTCTCCGGTGCACGTTCACGTTCACGGGATAAAGCCTCGCGATTAACGTTGACGGCCTCTTGCGTTCGTGTGAAGCTGGTTCACGTTGCCGTGTGGTTTATGGGTGGGGGGCGATGTCTGGGTTTAGCGGTGGAGTCGGCGATATCGGGACTCCTAAAGTCGAGACTGGTCACTTGAATGGTCGCAACGAAGCTGTTTGTGGGTTAGATCGCCGTGAGAGTAAATGTGTCGTAACCCTCCACCACCCGACGCAGCCAGCAAGTTTCGTTACGTAACGTCAACAAAAGGTGCCATATAGTGTATAGTGTAGTGTATAGTGTAGTGTATAGTGTAGTGTATAGTAGTGTAGTGTATAGTAGTGTAGTGTATAGTAGTGTAGTGTATAGCAGTGTAGTGTATAGTAGTGTAGTGTATAGTAGTGTAGTGTATAGTATATTGTATAGTAGTGTAGTGTATAGTATATTGTATAGTAGTGTAGTGTATAGTAGTGTATTGTATAGTAGTGTAGTGTATAGTGTATTGTATAGTAGTGTAGTGTATAGTGTATTGTGTAGTGCAGTGTATAGTAGTGTATTGTATAGTGGTGCAGTGTATAGTAGTGTAGTGTATAGTAGTGTAGTGTATAATAGTGTGTAGTGTAGTGTATAGTAGTGTAGTGTATAGCAGTGTAGTGTATAGTAGTGTAGTGTATAGCAGTGTAGTGTATAGTAGTGTAGTGTATAGCAGTGTAGTGTATAGTAGTGTAGTGTATAGTAGTGTAGTGTATAGCAGTGTAGTGTATAGCAGTGTAGTGTATAGTAGTGTAGTGTATAGCAGTGTAGTGTATAGTAGTGTAGTGTATAGTAGTGTAGTGTATAGCAGTGTAGTGTATAGCAGTGTAGTGTATAGTAGTGTAGTGTATAGCAGTGTAGTGTATAGTAGTGTAGTGTATAGTAGTGTAGTGTATAGCAGTGTAGTGTATAGTAGTGTAGTGTATAGTAGTGTAGTGTATAGTAGTGTAGTGTATAGTAGTGTAGTGTATAGTAAAGTCACGTAGAAGGGAAGTAATAAATTATTATTATTAATAATATTATTACTTCCCTTCTACGTGACTTCACCGAAAGAACCAAGAAGATGAATCCCTGCAGTCACGAAAGCTTTAAATCGAAATTTAGTGTATAGTAGTGAAGTGTATAGTGTAGTGTATAGTAGTGTAGTGGATAGTGTCGTGTATAGTGTAGTGTATAGTGTCGTATATAGTGTAGTGTATACTGTAGTGGATAGTGTAGTGTATACTGTAGTGGATAGTGTATAGTATAGTGTAGTAGTGTATAGTGTCGTGTATAATGTGTAGTGTATGGTGTATAGTATAGTGTTTTAGTGTGTAGTGTACAGTGTCGTGTATAGTGTAGTCTACTATTTAAGCACCACCGGTGTGTTGGAGAGTAAATCCACAACACGTACTATTTGAGCAGCACGATGTTATCCGTGCGCGTCGGCTACGCGAGCCCTCCGCCGCTCGCTGCGCCACGAACGCCGACGTCGCAGTCGCGCCGTGTGATTGGACTCGCTCCGCCGGCGTGAGCAGGTCACCACGACAACGATGACGACGACGATGACGAGGAGCAGGAGAGCGGGAAGGAGGAGGAGGAGAGCGCCCCGGCGGTGGAGAACAGGAAAAAACCCAAGCGGTGAGTTGGCTACGCCCACGGCTGGCGAGAGTCGCGTGGTGGGGGGCGGGGACGTTCCCACGTGGAGATGGACCCACCTCGGGTGTTTGAAATGTCACGGCGGCGGGAGAGCGCACGGCACGCGGTCGGGAGGGGCTGCGAGTCGAAACTACTACCCCCCGCCCCAAGCAGAGGTCGCAACCGGATACCCGATACCCGTACCCTACCCGATACCCGTACCCTACCCGATACCCATACCCTACCCGATACCCGTACCCTACCCGATACCCGTACCCTACCCGATACCCGGCTACCCGTACCCGATACCCCTACCTGATACCCGTACCCTACCCGATACCCGTACCCTACCCGATACCCGTACCCTACCCGATACCCGTACCCTACCCGATACCCGTACCCTACCCGATACCCGTACCCTACCCGATACCCGGCTACCCGTACCCGATACCCCTACCTGATACCCGTACCCTACCCGATACCCATACCCTACCCGATACCCGTACCCTACCCGATACCCGTACCCTACCCGATACCCGTACCCTACCCGATACCCGGCTACCCGTACCCGATACCCCTACCTGATACCCGTACCCTACCCGATACCCATACCCTACCCGATACCCGTACCCTACCCGATACCCGTACCCTACCCGATACCCATACCCTACCCGATACCCGGCTACCCGTACCCGATACCCCTACCTGATACCCGTACCCTACCCGATACCCATACCCTACCCGATACCCGTACCCTACCCGATACCCGTACCCTACCCGATACCCATACCCTACCCGATACCCGTACCCTACCCGATACCCGTACCCTACCCGATACCCGTACCCTACCCGATACCCGGCTACCCGTACCCGATACCCGTACCCTACCCGATACCCGTACCCTACCTGATACCCGGCTACCCGTACCCAGCCGGGTACAGGGTACCCATTTGCGACCCTGGTGCGGCCGGGTACGGGTAGACCGTGAGTCACTGGTGAGTAACTGTAGTGCAGCGGTTAGCGCTACGCCACTCTACAAACCCGGCGACTCCAGTTCGATTCCCACTCACGGCCACCAACACCAGTGACGATTATCCGAAGCGGTTCCTGGGCCTCCTCTAGGTCGACTCGGCCTCAAATGAGTACCTTGTGCGATGTGTAAACCATCGCCACTAGGAAGACAAAGGCGGCCAGGAGCAGTGCTGGCAACCCACCCCCTCGTGCGCCGCGCCGGCCTTCGTAGGTGCTGCTACTCGCTGACACGCACTTGCCCCAAAAGACTGTTGAGGCTACACGGGGGACCTTTGTCTTTGTGTGCGGTGGTCAGCGGCTCGAGCTGCTACCGAGTGGTGCGCCTGCGGGACGAGGGGCTGGGAGCGCAGAAGCGCGAGGAGGCGCAGAGCTTCCTGCAGCAGCGCCTCTATGGGCAGGGCCGCCAGCGGGTCTCCGGTAAGAATGGGCACGCACGGGCACGCACAGACGACACGCACGGATACGCACAGACGACACGCACAGACACGTACAGACGATACGAACGGACACGTACAGATGATACGCACGGATACGTACAGACGACACGCACGGACACGTACAGACACGTACAGACGATACGAACGGACACGTACAGATGATACGCACGGATACGTACAGACGACACGCACAGACACGTACAGACGATACGAACGGACACGTACAGACGACACGCACGGATACGTACAGACGATACGCACAGACACGCACAGACGATACGCACGGACACGTACAGACGATACGAACGGACACGTACAGACGATACGCACAGACGCACAGACGATACGCACAGACACGTACAGACGATACGCACGGACACGTACAGACGATACGAAAGGATACGTACAGACGATACGCACAGACACGTACAGACGACACGCACAGACACGTACAGACGATATGAACGGACACGTACAGACGATACGAACGGATACGTACAGACGATACGCACAGACACGCACAGACGATACGCACGGACACGTACAGACGATACGAACGGATACGTACAGACGATACGCACAGACACGTGCAGACGACACGCACAGACACGTACAGACGATATGAACGGACACGTACAGACGACACGCACAGACACGTACAGACGACACGCACAGACACGTACAGACGATATGAACGGATACATACAGACGATACGCACGGATACGTACAGACGATACGGATACGTACAGACGATACGCACAGACACGCACAGACGATACGCACAGACACGTTCAGACGATACGCACAGACACGTACAGACGATATGAATGGATACGTACAGACGACACGCACAGACACGTACAGACGATATGAACGGATACATACAGACGATACGCACGGATACGTACAGACGATACGGATACGTACAGACGATACGCACAGACACGCACAGACGATACGCACAGACACGTTCAGACGATACGCACAGACACGTACAGACGATATGAACGGATACGTACAGACGACACGCACAGACACGCACAGACGATACGCACAGACACGCACGGACGACATGCAGGTCGGGGGGGTCTTGGGGGGGGAGGGGGGTCGAGGGGGGCGCTGGGGGGGGATCTGGCTGCGTGTGCCCCCCTCCCGCGTTGAGGCTCCGTGTGGTTGTTCTCGCCGCCTCTGCAGCGAACGAGTTCTTCTCGCTGCGGAACAAGACGGGCGCCTGCAAGAAGCCGGCGTTGCAGTTTGTCAAGGACGGCGGCGCAGGTGACACGTGGCGGCGGTCTCCGCCGACGGGCACTCACTCTCACACTCTCAGACTCGCACACACACACTCACGCTCACACACACACACATTCACGCTCACACACTTTCAGACTCACACCCACACACTCTCACACTCTCAGACACACACACACACACTCACTCACACTCTCAGACTCGCACACACACACACTCACACACACACACTCACACACTTTCAGACTCACACCCACACACTCTCACACTCTCAGACACACACACCCACACACTCTCACACTCTCAGACTCGCACACACACACTCACGCTCACACACACACTCACACACACACTCACGCTCACACACTTTCAGACTCACACACACCCTCACTCACACTCTCAAGACTCGCACACACACTCACTCACACTCTCAGACTCGCACACACACACACTCACGCTCACACACACACTCACGCTCACACACTTTCAGACTCACACCCACACACTCTCACACTCTCAGACTCGCACACACACTCACGCTCACACACACTTACGCTCACACACACACACTTTCAGACTCACACACACACTCTCACACTCTCAGACTCACACACACTCACTAACACACACACACTCACGCTCACACACACTCACGCTCACACACTTTCAGACTCACACCCACACACTCTCAGACTCACACACACTCACTAACACACACACGCTCACACACACTTTCAGACTCACACCCACACACTCTCACACTCTCAGACTCACATACTCACTCACACTCTCCGACTTGCACACACACACACTCACGCTCGTGCACCTCCGATGCGCAACTCCATCTATCCAGGGGCGGATTATATGTATACTCTATATATATAATATATACATTATAAATATTGTAATTTTATATAAATAATATTTATGTATATATTATGTAGATTATATATGTACATTATATATACAACATAAATTGTATTTACATAATGTATAGATTATATATTATATAAAAACAATTTATATTATATATAATATATTTTGATTTAAAGCTTTCGTGACCGCAGGGATTCATATTCTTGGTTCTTTCGGTAAAGTCACGTAGAACGGAAATAATAAAATAATAAAATATATAAACCAATTAAATTATCACGACGTTTCGACTGCAACACAAGCAATCACCAACAGTCTGGAACGCCATCATCCCTCTGCACATTCGCAGAGAGACTTAGAAACTCACCTCTACAACCACGTGCTTTCGAGCGACTCTGAGCTTGGCTCTGCGCCTCTTGAGTTGCGGCCGTTACGTCCGCAAATTTGCGCGCGTTACAAATTGCATTATTATTATATTCTTAGGTTTTTTTTTACTCTGTCTTATCGACAGACCTGTTCTTCACCTGAGGACGGCTGCTTGCGTTGTGGCCGAAACGTCGTGAGAATTATTTTATTATGTTTTATTTTTATTATTTTATTACTTCCCTTCTACGTGACTTTACCGAAGGAACCAAGAAGATACATCGTGTGATTTTAACCAAAGCTTTTCACTTTACCCCACAGGCATGAATAAAAAAGATAGAAAGAAGAGGAAACGGGAGCAGGCGAAGATGGCGTAATCGTATATTGCGCCTTGCATTAAACCCATAGCAAATGTTTATATTGAGACTGGGCTTCAGGAGAGACCGGGTCTCAGGGTCAGAAGTCTCGGTTGAGACTCGGCTCCAGGAGACCGGGTCTCAGGGTTGGAGTCTTGGTTGAGACTCGGCTCCAGGAGACCCGAGTCTCAGGGTCGGAGTCTCGGTTGAGACTCGGCTCCAGGAGACCCGAGTCTCAGGGTCGGAGTCTCGGTTGAGACTCGGCTCCAGGAGACCGGGTCTCAGGGTCGGAGTCTCGGTTGAGACTCGGCTCCAGGAGACCCGAGTCTCAGGGTCGGAGTCTCGGTTGAGACTCGGCTCCAGGAGACCGGGTCTCAGGGTTGGAGTCTTGGTTGAGACTCGGCTCCAGGAGACCGGGTCTCAGGGTCGGAGTCTCGGTTGAGACTCGGCTCCAGGAGACCCGAGTCTCAGGGTCGGAGTCTCGGTTGAGACTCGGCTCCAGGAGACCGGGTCTCAGGGTCGGAGTCTCGGTTGAGACTCGGCTCCAGGAGACCGGGTCTCAGGGTCGGAGTCTCGGTTGAGACTCGGCTCCAGGAAACCAGGTCTCGGGGTTGGAGTTTTGTTTGAGACTCGGCTCCAGGAGACAGGGTCTCAGGGTCAGAGTCTCGGTTGAGACTCGGCTCCAAGAGACCGGGTCTCAGGGTCAGAGTTTTCGATTGAGACTCGGCTAGGTAAAGTTTGTACAGTCATTGTTGCTCATCGTTGTGATAAAAATAAAGTAACTTTTCTTAAAACCTGTTGTTTTTTTGGGGGGGGGGGAGTGGGTTACGGAGCCACGCACCGTTATCCTCTGTAAAAGCGTAACGCGCTTGAATCGACAGTTGAGGTGGTTCCGAGTCGATTGTGGGCTGCTCCAGATGCCAGTCGTAAAACCCAGAGCGCCTCAACGGGCACAGAAGCTGCGGATCGATTCCTTGAAGCCGCCACCGACTTACGCAGAGGAGCCGTGCACGGCACAGCGAGCGGCGAGGACACTCACCCCCACTGCGAATATTTGGCAGCTGCTACAAATGTGATGATATTAAGCCACTTTGTGAGCTCTCGTCTGCGATAGCCAGGTCGCATCTGACAGAGCTACGTCGCTTTGGGGGGGAGGGGGGGCACAGCGTTAAAACCCAAAGATTTACGGGAAAGCGGTGGCGCCCAAAACGATTTGAACGAGCTTTAAAAATGACGAGTAAAAAAAAATAACTCGGGCCCGTTTTCAAAGAGATGTAATTTTATGTATTAATATTACAGCATTACACCATGTAATTACATTTAAACCACTATATAAAGTCATCATCGGGCCGCGTGGAATATGAGAAATGTATTCAAACTGGGAGCGTAACAGCCGAAGGACGACAACCGAGGAGGCGCGCGTTGAACTACGGATCGATTTCCTCGGCAACAACGGAGTTGGATGCAACAGCAATAACAACAGGCTAAATAATTTACCTACGTGAGCACCGTCCGTTAGCGCAACACACCGCATTGAGCCCGCAAACATGATTACTTTGAGAGACTTATGCGTATGAGAACATGGGGGTGTGTGGTGGGGGGGCAGGCATAAGGAGTGGCATCTTCCTAAACGAAACGCTTAACAAGAACGGCGACTCTTAATATGCCGGGAGTAAATAGGTGAATAGTTTACTTCTGCAGATATTTCTTTTAAAATCTTTATCCTGTTCCGATAATAAAGACACTGTTTAACGTATCAACATTCTTTTACTTTTTGTCGTTGTTTTCAAGCCAACACTTTTACACGCACATGTATACAAAAGAAATCGATCAAGCGTTTGCTCCCCAAAGTGCCACTCTGCGTCGTCCTATCCGCTGTTGGAAGCCCAAGTCTGATTTTAAACCTGGGCAGCGCTTGAATGGGTGACCCCCTCCATCACCAAGGGTCTCGGACTGCCAAGGGGTCGCATGCACAGGGGTGGTCCAGATGTCTCGTGACACCCCCCCCCCCACAAACATTTTTTTCCCCTTCCCTTTGCATATTCATAAACCTTTAAAAATATTACGTTTTGGATAATTTAATGGGGGGGTTGGGGGGCACCAGGGGGTCACCGCTCTGTACGTGGAACTTCTTTCGCACCAGCGTAGGTCGCCAACCGTGTTAATTGGTGGTGCGGGGGAGGGGAGGGATGACCAACTCAGAGAGCAGTGCCGAGTGGAGCACCACCCCCCCCCCCCTCGCGTTGCCCCCTTTCCGATTCCTCCCTCAACACCCGGCACATCTCACGGGCAGACACATTTCGATGGCGCTCAAATATCGTAAAACAACAACAAAAACATGGTAACTCTAAGGCATTTTTTTTTCTATAATGACGATGACATCAAAGTGTCCCCAGCCTGCTCCTCTTTACACGACGACTTACACCCGACCCCCGTGAATTTTATAACCTCAAACAAAATCCCATTTTCGTTATTGTTAAATGACAGAAAACTTTTTTTTTTTGCAAAACCCAATAAAAGAAAAAACGCCAGTCGGCTTTTTTTCACAAAAACGCAAAACCGCTGTCACCACCACCACTCCCCTGCCCGCCCCGTTTAGTCCGCACACAACCCATCACTAATCACTCATCCTTCACGGAGCGATGGAATCGGATCTCGGAAAGGATCGTCGCGAGACGGTGAAGACACAGCGACGGGTGAGGCCTTCAACCCAGCAGTGGTTGGATCATGGCAGGCGACGATCTTGTCGGTGACAATCTCGGGTGGGCAGGTGCGGGGTGGGGGGCAGAGGTCGCAAACGGGTAGCCGTACCTGGCCGGGTACGGGTTGCCGGGTATCGGGTAGGGTACGGGTATCGGGTACCCGGTTGCGACCTCTGGGGGGGGGGGGGGCAGCCCCACGTGCCGTTACGATGAGAGCACGACCCCCGGAAGTCCGACACGGCCGTCACGACAAACGCCTGAAGCCACGTCGGCGTGCGCGCGCGTTTCCAACCGCGTAATGCGTAAATGACACCCCCCCCCCCGCCCCACAATAAACACAAAAATATAAGCGCTAACTTGACTTACGTGTTAGTTCATAAATACACCACGGGTAGTTGGGATGATGCCGCGGTATTTTTCGGCGAAAACGAATAGCGTTAAAATCGAATGTGCAACGAACACGCCGCAATTCTTTAACCACTGCATAGCATCTGTGGGAGTGAGTGTCTGGTAGAGGGGGAGATGGCTGTAGTCATTTCCTGTAAAAAACCGGAATCGCCGAGCGACATTGAGAATCCCTTTTTGTTTTTAATAACTGCACGAGAGCTGACCGAGACTCGTCATCAACATCATCCGTAACAAGAGATTTTTTGGGTCAGACCGCGTCAAAATGTGTCGTTAAACCCGCCGCCACCACCCAACACAGCACATTTGTAAAGTTCGTCACCCGTGTGTCGGAGAGAAAATTCACAACATGTACAATCTGCGTAAGACGTTTCGCCAGTAATTACAATCGGCATCATCAGACGACAGCGAGATTTAAAGACATTTATATTTACGCGATCCAACCCAAAAAAACCTGTACTATGGATATTGGCCACGATTGCCTACGTGTTAAAACTGCTCATCATCATCATCCCCCAACGAGCTCCACCGGACAATCTCAGCGAAGAACCAAGGTCCTTTCACTTTACTCTCGAATCGATATTCTCTCCAAAATGTCGCATCGGGAGATGTTAAACACAACGGCCACGTTGGAGGCTTCGTCACATCCGAGCCCACATGCTCCGTATTCTATGGCGGCTGTAACGGGGTTCGAACCGAGGGCTTGTTGCTATCCAGCACAGTGGCGAGTAGGTTTCACCACGAGGTCAGCTCAGCCCGTGATCGAAACCTTGAGCAGGACTGAGAGTAGTGATGGGGCTGAGTGGGGGCACTGGTGGGCATGTGATGGAGGCTGTGACAAGGCCTGTGACAGGGCATGAGATGAGGCTACGATCAGCCCCTGATAAGACTGCGATGGAAACTCCCTCTGCACCAACGTCAGCAGGGAACCACGTGACTGCCCTCGTGAGAGGCTAACGACGTCTGTGCGCGCACGTAAACACGTGCAACGTACACTTCCACGTACGTATGTACACGGGTGGGTGTCTGTGTTTCTACACACGCGTGGGCGTGCGCTGTATATGTAAACACGTGTGCAAACGTATGTACACCTGTGCGGACGTGCGAACGCACACGCATACAACAACAACGACAACAAAAAACCAGCCCCACGTGATTCGGAAATAATTGATGCTTACAGGACCGTATCCGGTGTCAACTGGAGCCTGAGAACTACATTTTAATTGCTCGAGTTGCTCAGCCGTCGCGTGTACGTTGCGCGAACGTTGCACGAACGTTGCACGAACGTTGCGCGAACGTTGTGCGAACGTTGTGCGAACGTTGTGCGTACGTTGTGCGTACGCGCTTGCTGAGCCTCGCAAGCTGTTGGTAGAATTTGCTGCTAGCGAGCACCTATACAGGGCCCGACACGGCACGCTATTTTCTTCGCAACAGTTTGTTTAGTATTAGTTTGCTGCCCTTCCCCCGCACGGTCGGCTACGTACGGTGCGAAAACACGTTCCTTTTCTGAGTGGGCAGGTATGAACTTGGTTGGACAGCGCATTCGTGCACGACAGAAAGCTCGCGGTCACGTGACGCACTTCAACCAATCCGGGAGCGTACTACATGTTTGGGAGGGGCTATGCACGACAGACAAATAATCCCTGGTGGGCAGTGTGGAACTGTTGTTTCTAGCTGTATAAGTTCAACGTAGATACGTACAATAGAGTGTTGTGGCCAGCTGCTTGAACACCCTTCACACCGTCTCTCCGCAGCGCTGATACAAGGTATTCATCTATGGCCGAATAACTTTTACGTGTGCACGTTGAACTTCTTTTCGCAACGCACGTAGCCAACCGTGCTAATCGAAGGCGCGGGGGAAGGACAACAAACTAAACTTTAGGGGAGCCCGAGACCAGGTTGACACAAAGTCCCTGCCTGCATCAAAGCCAGGGATGGAACCTCGGCCAACGTTGACTGTAGTGTCACGATCGACTTGTAGTGTTTAAAACCAGACACAAGTTTCCCGATAGATTTTGCCCACGCTTCCCGCCACCACCTTAATAGATGCTCGCTAACAACAGCGTTTGCCCCTGTGATCGATAAGGTTTCAACAGGATATCTACAACTCTCTCTCGCCCAAGTGTGAACGTGTGTGTGTGTGTTACTGCCTGTATGTATGTCTGTGTGCTCAGGGAAGCGGTCAGTGTAGTGGTTCGCGCGCCGTGCTATGATATCCGGCGACCCGCTCACGGCCAACACCAGTGGCGATTATCTGAACTGGTCCTGGGCCTCTTGTAGGTCAACTCAGCCTCACAATGAGTACCTGGTGCGGTGTGTAGTAAACATCGCTGCTGGGAAGACAAAGGCGGTCGGGCGTGGTGCTGGCCACCCACCCCCTCATGTGCCGTGCCGGCCTGCATAGGTGCTCACTAACAGCACTTGCCCCAACAGTCTCTTAAAGGCTACACGGGGGTTCTTTGCTTTGCGTCCGTATTGAAACGTGCTTTTGTGTACGTGCATGTGGGCACGTGGCCATGTGCGTGTATGTGGCTTACGACTTGCCCATGCCTGTGTCTGTACGAAGCCGTGCGTGCGTTTGTGCGTGCGTCTCTGTGTGTACGCGCGTGGGTCTGGTATAGGCCTCTACACGTGCGCGTGACCGGGTGAACACGCCCGAGCATTTGTCCAACGTGCACCTTGCCGGCCTTCGTAGGTGCTCGCTAACAACACTTGCCCCGACAGGTCTGTCGAGGCTATACGGGGGGAATCTTTGTGTCTGCGTGTGCGTGCGTTTGTCCTTGTGTCTCTGCACACGTCTGCCCTTGGCAATGTCTGTGTGTTTCTGCGCGTGCGTGCGTGCGCTTGTGTGCGAGCGTGTGTGCGTCATCTCTCCCCGCCTCCGACGGACGTTCACTTGTGGTTCTTGAGCTGGTTCGACAGCCAGTCGAGACCTTCGTAGAGGCCGTCCCCGCTGGTGGCGCACGTTGCCTGGATGTACCAGTTCCGCTGGCGCAGCGAGTGCAGGCCCAGCTTGTCCGTGATCTCGGCCGCGTTCATCGCGTTGGGCAGGTCCTGTGCGGCACCAGAGACGGAGAGATGCCACCGTATAAGCCTCTAACGGACCGTGGGTGCAAGTGCTGTTGGCGATCTCCCAATGCCAATACTCGCCATTCACCACCCAAGTGACGGTGGCACCTGTGCCAGGCCAGGTACATTTTGAGGCCACGTGAAGTGTCAAAGGTTCGCCAACAGGAGGTCACGGGATAGACCCAGGTGCCATGGGTTGACTGAGATGATGAACCAGCTGCGCCCCCTACTGGGCCAACTTGCTCTATTTTAGCCACGTGGCGGCTCCACTCATTGTTGTGAACACCAAATAAAGACAAAGATCCCCCGTATACCCTTAACAGACTGTAGGAGCAAAGTGCTGTTAACGAGCACCTATGAAGGCTGGCACGGTACACCAGGGGGTGCCTTTGTCTCCTCAGTGGCCATGTTTACACACTACAACAGGTACTCAATTGAGGATGAGTCGACCTAGGGGAGGCCCAGGATTGGTTCAGATAATCGTCAATGGTGTTGGCCGTGAGTGGGAATTGAACTCGGCTCGCTGGGTTCGTAGTGCAGCGCGCTAACCGCTAAACCACCGCTGCACGAGACAAAGACCCCCCATATAGCCTTAACAGACTTTAGGGGCAAGTGCTGTTAGCGAGCACCTATGAAGGCCGCAACGGTACACGAGGGGGCGGGTGGCCAGCACCACGCCCGACCGCCTTTGTCTCACTAGTGGTGATGTTTACACACCGCACCAGGTACTCATTTGTGGCTGAGTCGACCTAGGGGAAGCCCAGGATTGGTTCAGATAATCATCAATGGTGTTGGCCGTGAGTGGGAATTGAACTCGGCTCGCTGGGTTCGTAGTTCAGCGCACTAATAGCTACACCACCGCTGCACACACAACCGCCATTCGCCACTAAGTGGCGGTGACGTCACCACGACGCTTGTGCCAGGCCATGTGCACCTTGAGGCCACGTGAAGTGTCGCAAACACACACATACACAGGGACACACACGACAAACACACACACACACCTGCTTGTTAGCGAACACGAGCAGTACGGCGTTCCGGAGTTCGTCCTCCGCAAGCATCCGCATCAGCTCCTCCCTCGCCTCGTTCACTCGCTCGCGGTCGTTACTGTCCACCACGAATATCAGCCCTGGGCACACACGTGAACACACACGTGAACACACGTGAACACACACGTGAACACACACGTGCACACACACGTGAACACACACGTGAACACACACGTGAACACACACGTGAATACACGCCAACACGCACACACACGTGCGCACACGTGAACACACGCCAACACGTGCAGTTACTCCGCATAAGCGTGCACACCCACAAGCATGAGTAGACACACAAAGATCCTCGGAGTAGCCTGCACAAGCTGCCGAGGGAAAGTGCCGTTAGCGAGTACCCACGAAGGCCGGCACGGCTCACGAGGGGGCGGTGTGGTGCAGCACATCGCCCGACCGCCTTTGTCTCCCAATTGCTGATGTTTACACACCGCACTGGATACTCAATTAAGGCCGAGTCGACCTATGGGAGGCCGAGATTCGGTTCAATATTCATCACCGTATGTTGAATTTCTTTCGCACCGAAATCACCGATGCTAGCCGCGAGCGGGAATCGAACTCGGGACACCGGATTCGTAGCGACGTAAAAAATGTTTTTACTGAATAATGAAATACTTTTAATGTTCATTGCAGCCTCAACATTATTGAGGGATTGTTGTTATTGTCTTGCCGTGGCCTGGGGCTGTTTGTTGTAGTTTTGCTGCTTAGCTCAAGCTTGCACTTATTGTTGAAAAATCAGCAGGAATTGACGTACTTTTGCTATTCGTACTCATGTACTTTATTTATTTTTAGTGACTTGCTTACTTTGCATTCATATCGGGTTTTTTTTCTTCTTCTATTGTCGTTGCAACTTTCTGGCCCCGTGCCCCAACTGGACATCTGCGTGATGGAGACCTGCGTAGCTCGTCGGATCCCTCCAGCCCAAACAAAAGATTGTGATTGCGATCACGGTGACAACAACGACACGTCGCGAACGAGGGGAGGAGAGTCGTAGGACTTGGTCGAAACCTTGCGTGTTCTGGAAGTAGTGTCTCCACAGCGGACGGATCTTGTCCTGGCCGCCCACGTCCCACACTGTGAAGCTGATGTTCTTGTACTCCACAGTCTCCACGTTGAACCCTATACACGCGCACACACACAAAGACAGATCCCCCGTGTAGCCTTAGCAGACTGTTGGGGCAAGTGCTGTTAGCGAGCAGCACCTGTGAAGAACGGCACGGCCCACACCACGCCCGGCCCGCCTTTGTCTCCTCAGTGGCGAGGTTTACACATCACACCGGGTACTCATTTGAGGCCGGGTCGACCTGTGGGAGGCCGAGATTCGGTTCAATATTCATCACCGTATGTTGCATTTCTTTCGCACCGTACGTAGCCAACCGTGCTAAACGGAGGTGCGGGATATCACTGATGCTAGCCGCGAGCGGGAATCGAAGTCAGGATACCGGAATTTAACCAAATGAGAAGTCAATTAGGAGGGGAAATTATTACCTTTAAAATCCAGATCGAAGGGAGCATAGACACTCCCAGTTATACCCACATCGTCTTTAATAATGATAGCAATAGCCACTTAGTACATTCGCTATTTGCACCCCTGTTCAGTTATTTCACGGCAACGGTGCAATGTTGCTTTGTGCAATCCCAACGGAGGACTTTTCCAGTATGATATTTCGAACTTAGAAAACTTGGACCATGCTGTCGACACATACATGCCTACTGCTCGTTTTCGAATTACGTCAGGGGGTACCTCTAAGGTCCGCTGCGACACAGACAGCGCGTACGTCATGGTCAACAAGCGCACGAAGCGTGAGATAGCAACTTTCTGCCTGCACACACACACAACGGCCCACCGCTCATTTCGAGCGATCTCAGGGAAATCTCTCAGGTCCACTGCGAAGCAGATAGCGCGTACGTCACAGTCAAGGCACACACGCAGCAGTGGTAACCTTCTGAATATAGCAAGTTTGGACCATGCTGCCTGCACACACACACAACGTCCTACCGTCATTTCGAGCCATGTCAGGGAAATCTCTCAGGTCCGCTGGACGCGTACGTCACAGTCAACGCACGCACACACAGTGTGCAGTAGTAACATTCTGAATTCAGCAAACTTGGACCAGGCTGCCGACACACACACACAGAACGGCCTGCAGCTCGTTTTCGAACGACGTCAGGGGGTACCCCTCTAAGATCCGCTGCGACACAGACATGGTCAACGCGCGCACGCAGCGAGCGATAGTAACCAGGGCGGCCTGCCCCGGGGCGGGGGTTCAAGTCGCAAACTTCGGCTCCCGCAGTCACCGCACGCGTCGCCCGCCCGCCCGGCCACCCCTCGGCGCTCCGTTACCGATGGTGGGGATGGTGGTGACGATCTCGCCGAGCTTGAGCTTGTAGAGGATGGTCGTCTTGCCGGCGGCGTCGAGCCCCACCATGAGAATGCGCATCTCCTTCTTCCCCACGAGGGTATCGAAGAGTCGCGTGAAGAATCCCCCCATGGCGGCACTGGCGGGAGGGAAACGCAGTGGGAGATGGAACGGGGGACACGGGTGGACGGTGGGGGCGCAGAGGTCAGAACACAGAGCTGGCACCGCTAAGATCCAGGGATTAAATCCCAGCGAGTCGATGGTCATGGCGAGCTCGCGGTCGACTGGCGCAGAGACCTGTAGATGCAGAGAGAGGGGTGCCGCGGTGACGAGATGTTAACTACCTCGCCTGGTATGCAGGAGGTCGTGGGTTAGATCCCGACCCTGACGCCTGTATTATTTGGAGTTAGCGTGTCTGTTCTCCCCGCGATCGAGTGGATTCTTCTCCGGGTCCTCCGGTTTTTCGCTCCACATTTAGAATTATGCGTTTACAGTATTTCACTGCTATAGATTTCCACATATGGGCCGGGTTGCTTCTGATATAGAGCTATATAGCTCAGTCGGCCTTACCTGGTGAAATGTAAAAATTGTTGTATGTTTTAAGAACAGTTTAAGTGTGGGTATTCTTAGGATGATTTTACTGTGAGGTTATCTCATGTATGGAACTCGCTAAAATTTAGCTCTAACCCAGCATTTCTCAACATTCTGGATTAAAATATTTTTTATTAGAGCATTTAGGGTAAACAATTTGGGTCACGGTTTGGGTTTACGGTCTAGGGTCAGGAACAGCATTTAAGAGTTAGTGTCATGGATTTGCGACACGGATTGTGGTTATTGTTTATTGTTGAAGTCTTGGGTTCAGCTTGTGGGTCAGGTGCTGGGGTATTGGTTTACGATTAAAGCTTTTGGTTTATAATCAGGAATTACGATTAAAGGTTTATGGGGTAAATGTTTCGGGGTTACAGGGGTGAGGTTAGGGACAGTGGCTATGATGAGCGATTTTTGCCACGTTACTGGTTGAGGCAGTGGGTGAGTTGTCTCGGTCTCAGGTTAAACCTCTCCCCCCCCTCTGGCTATCCCTGACCCCCAACCCATCCCCGCAACCTCCCGCAACCCAGTTTCCATCCTCATTTGAGGAGTTAACTCCTCCCCTCTTCTCTTCCCCCCCCTCTCGCAAATCCTTTTTCTTTCCTTTCCAGGGATACCCGACAACTAATTTCTCCCACTCTCTCACCTCCACACTCAACCCCCGCCTCCCCCCTCTCTCGCCTCTCTCTTCCACTTTCCTACCAACCCCGTCCACTTTCTCAAGTTACGCAGAAGCAGAAGGTCGCAACTGGGTACCCGATACCCGTACCCTACCCGATACCCGGCTACCCATACCCGGCCGGGTACGGGTACCCATTTGCAACCCTGGTGCGGCCGGGTACGGGTAGGCCGTGAGTCACTGGTGAGTAACTGTTTGTCACTCATTTCTCAACGTCTTGTCTCTTCTCACAATTCAAGTTCCTAGAATCAACCCACCCACGCCTGCAACATGGCTTCATCCCAGAGGTCGCAATGAGGTACCCGATACCCGTACCCTACCCGTACCCGGCCAAGTAGGGTACGAGTACGGCCGGGTACGGGTACCCGTTTGCAACCCTGGTGCGGCCGGGTACGGGTAAGGAATCAAAACCCGTTTGCGACCTCTGCGCGGAAGCCCCCTTCTGTCAATCCACTGCTGGATGAGGACCCTGATGCGCCCACGCCTGTTATATACGAACCCCATAAATCGCGCAAATGTGTGTCGTTAAACCTGCCACCACCCGACACAGCCAATTAGTAAGGCTTGTCACGTCAATAAATTACTTCACCCACCCACAAACTTCCCCCACGCTGGTCAAAGTGTGAATCGATGTTCGGAGGCAGTCCAGAGCCATAGACTTGGGAGCGTATGAAGTGCAGGGGGGTAAGAATGGATCCATGAGAGTTTTTTGGGGGGTTAGAATCGCGTAAATATTAATGTGTCGTTAAACCCGCCACCACCAGACACAGCCAATTATCAATGGTCGTGTCGTGTAAACAGAACGTGGCCAATTCGTTACTAGTACAGCACCACCGGTGTGTGTTGGGAGAGTAAATCCACTACAACATTTACAATCTGAGTACTGTGACGTTTTGGAAGAATGGATGTTTATACCTACGTGACTTTACCGAAAGAACCAAAGCGTATGGATTCCTGCAGTTACGAAAGCTTGAACTCAAGAATGGATGTTTTGCTACACCGCCCTCTGCTGCCCACAACCAAAGCCCGTCCACGTCGTTCCACTCAAAGCGCCATCCACGGGGGCCTCGATTTCGGCTCCGTCTCCCGGGAGCACCACGAGATGGGGCGCATTCCGCGCGATTTAAACCATAGGCATGGAAAAATACGAATGTGTTTGTCCCTTTCTGAGGTGTTAAGATGTCCAAACACCAAAGAGACACCTTTTGCAAGGAACCAATTTCACGCATTAAGCACACACGGTTGTTGTGGTGAACGTGCAAACAAACACGTTCCGATAACAGATCAGAGCGCGCGTTTTAATATGTGGGCATTGTCTTTTAAACTGATTAGCCTCCGACAAAAGACAGTAGCAGCCTTCTTCACGGCCTCGTCTCACCACCAGCGTCAGACCAGAGAACAACCACAAAAGCGGTTACGTCTTCCCCGTCCCCCCTCCTCAACCACCCGCCCCCCGCTTTCCATCACTTTTCCCAGCAGGGCGTTCAGGCAAGTGGGTAGGATGCGGCCTTCCCCCCCCCCCCTCTCAACCACCCCCCTCCCCCCCGCTTTTCCATCACTTTTCCCAGCTGGGCACTCAGGCAAGTGGGTAGGATGCGGCCTCCCCCCCCCCTCCTCAACCACCCGCCCCCCGCTTTCCATCACTTTTCCCAGCAGGGCGTTCAGGCAAGTGGGTAGGATGCGGCCTCCTCCCCCCACCCCTCCTCAACCACCCCCCGCTTTTCCATCACTTTTCCCAGCTGGGCGTTCAGGCAAGTGGGTAGGATGCGGCCTCCCCCCCCCCCCCTCCTCAACCACCCCCCGCTTTTCCATCACTTTTCCCAGCAGGGCGCTCAGGCAAGTGGGTAGGATGCGGCCTTCCCCCCCTCCACCCCCCTTCCCCGCTTTACATTACTTTTCCCAGCAGGGCGCTCAAGCAAGTGGGTAGGATGCGGCCTCCCCCCCCCCCCCCCCCCTCCTCAACCACCCCCCGCTTTTCCATCACTTTTCCCAGCAGGGCGCTCAAGCAAGTGGGTAGGATGCGGCCTCCCCCCCCCCTCCTCAACCACCCCCCCGCTTTTCCATCACTTTTCCCAGCAGGGCACTCAGGCAAGTGGGTAGGATGCGGCCTTCCCCCCCTCCTCAACCCCCTCCCCCCCCCCCCCCCCCCCCCCCCCCGCTTTCCATCACTTTTCCCAGCAGGGCACTCAGGCAAGTGGGTAGGATGCGGCCTTCCCCCCCCTCCTCAACCCCCTCCCCCCCCCCCCCCCCCCCCCCCCGCTTTTCCATCACTTTTCCCAGCAGGGCACTCAGGCAAGTGGGTAGGATGCGGCCTTCGCCCCCCCCTTCGAAAGACGTCTCAATCTCGGACACCGCGAGACGAAGGAACCCCGGGTGGTCCCGGGCTCGAACCGAGACCACCACTATCCCTCACCACCCCCACCCACCACCACTAATCCTCTTAATTAGCGCCAATTAGCAGCGGAGTTCCCATGGCAACCGGCGCCTATAGGGCCGTCGAAATCGGCAACGAACGCGGAAGCGAAGAGGCCGCGCCCCGTAGGATGAGGCCCCCCTCGCAATGCGAGAAAAGTTCGCGTCCGGGTACCGGGCTGATGCTGATGTCGCTGCTGTTGTTGAAGGTGGTGATGTTGTTGATGATGATGATGTTGTTGTTGATGTTGTTGTTGATGTTGTTGTTGTTGCTGCTGCTGATGATGATGATTGAGTCAAGAGTCCGAAGCGCCGAGAGGCCCGGGGTTTGAGCGACGAAAGAGGGAGAGGCGGAATCGATCCGCGAGAAATCGACTGCCGCTTGCGAGCGGCGATTCTGCGTGAGTCACGAATTCGATTCGACGCGACTGACGTCGTTTCCCGTTCGAAGAAATCGATTTGCGGTGGAATCGATTCGCAAACAGGAATCGGCTCTGGTTACCGGATTATAAGACGCACCCCCCACTACCCCCACCCCCGGATTGAACCCACGACCTCCTGCACACCAGGCGAGGTAGTTAACATCTCATAGCCACCGTGGCGAGGAGACGTTACCGATCCGATAATTGATTATTGGAGCGAATTGCAGTCTCGATTATAATTTTTTAATGAGAATAAGCTTCCCCCTTTTTTTCTGGCAACAACACAGGTATTCATTCTAGATTTGAAGCTTTGGTGACTGCAAGGATTCATATTCTTAGGTTTTTTCGGTGAAGTCACGTAGGTAAAAAAAAATTAATAAAAGTAAAATAAAAATCACGACGTTTCAGAAACGTGATTTTTATTTTATTTTTATTTTATATAAATAAAATTTTATATAAATATTGTATATAAATAAAATGTTATTTTTTATTTTACTTTTATTAATTTTATTTTTTACCTACGTGACTTTACCGAAAAAAACCTAAGAATATGAAAACAACACAGCTGTGTTAAGATGTTAGAACACCAAACTGAAACCTTTCACAAGGAATCATGTCTGCATTAACCACGATACTTGTGGTCATAATGCAAAAAAACGTACTCTGATTAGCAAATGCATTGTCTTTGAAACTGATTGGTCCACACCAGATATAAAATTGTAGTCGAATCATACTCTTAGGTTTTTTAGGTAAAGTCACGTAAGTAAAATAATAGTAATAAAATGAATCATAATAAATGAAAATTACTCAATTAAATCACGACGTTTCGTAGGCAACAGCTAAATTTACTGTGACGGTCACACCTGATGAAGGAAGCTTGTGTCGCCTCCGAAACGTCGTGATTTAATTGAGTTATTTTCTTCTTCTTAGTTCTATCGGTAAAGTCACGTAGAAGGTAAATAATAAAATAATAAAAATAAAACTTTATAAAATAATTCTCACGACGTTTAGGCCACAACGCAAGCAGCCGTCCTCAGGTGGAGAATGCTTTTATTTTATTATGTTTTATTTTTTATTATTTTATTACTTCCCTTCTACGTGACTTCACCGAAAGAACCAAGAAGATGAATCCCTGCAGTCACGAAAGCTTTAAATCGAAATTTTGAGTTATTTTTATTTATTGTTATTATTTCATTATTATTATTTTTTAACTACGTGACTTTACCGAAAAAAACCTAAGAGTATGAATCCTTGCAGTCACGAAAGCTTCAAATCTAGAATGTTGTAGAATCATCTGGGCGAGTGGGGGGGGAGTGCGTGGATTGTGACTCACACAATAATAATAAAAAGTATTCCACACAATTTTCGATTTAAAGCTTTTGTGACTGCAGGGATGCATCTTCTTGGTTCTTTCGGTAAAGTCACGTAGAAGGGAAGTAATATAATAATAAAAATAAAACATAATACAATTATTCTCACTGAGAATTATGATAATTATTTTATTATGTTTCATTTTTATTATTTTATTCCACATAAGTAAACATTTTATTTTGCGTTACAATTTTTTTTATACATATATAAAAGTATATTCTTATACGCGCGAGTCCATGGTTGAAGAATATATATTTAAAATTTTAAAAAATCTGTGTTCGTCGAATAAATAATCGATTCGGTATTCCCATCAGGCGATATCCGAGGACAGGTGATATCCGAGGACAGCCCCGGGCGGGGTCCTGGTGCTGGCGGGGGGGGGGTCCTTGGTGTGTATACCTCCGTGCAGCGATGGCGACGTCCATTGGCGACCACGTGGGTACGTTCTGACAACGTTTTGCTACGTCTTGTCAACGTCTTGACAACGTCTTGTCAACGTCTTGACAACGTCTTGTCAACGTCTTGTCAACGTCTTGACAACGTCTTGTCAACGTCTTGTCAACGTCTTGACAACGTCTTGTCAACGTCTTGTCAACGTCTTGACAACGTCTTGTCAACGTCTTGACAACGTCTTGTCAACGTCTTGTCAACGTCTTGTCAACGTCTTGACAACGTCTTGTCAACGTCTTGACAACGTCGTGACCACGCGTGTACATTCTGTCAACGTCTTGACTCTTTCTCTCATCATCACGGTGGCTAGGAGATGTTAACTACCTCGCCTGGTGTGCAGGAGGTCGTAGGTTCGATCCCGACCCTGACGCCTGCTGCTGTATATTTGGAGTTTGCGTGTCTCTCTCTCTCATCATCACGGTGGCTAGGAGATGTTAACTACCTCGCCTGGTGTGCAGGAGGTCGTGGGTTCGATCCCGACCCTGACGCCTGCTGCTGTATATTTGGAGTTTGCGTGTCTCTCTCTCATCATCATCATCACGGTGGCTAGGAGATGTTAACTACCTCGCCTGGTGTACAGGAGGTCGTGGGTTGGATCCCGACCCTGACGCCTGCTGCTGTGTATTTGGAGTTTGCGTGTCTCTCGCTCTCTCCCCGTGGCCGCGTGGATATCTATCCGGGTTTTTCCTCCACATTTATAATCAATGTGCGTTTAAGAGTCAAATACTTGCCTGCTGCTGCTGCTATACATTTCGACGCTTTGAGGATGAATATTAGTAAGCCCACTCGGTTGAGCTGCGATCATTTGCGATAGTAGCAATGTCGCTTCTGACAGAGAGCTACCGAGCAGCTCACTGGGGCCTTACCCGGTAAAACCAAAACAACATTTCGATTTAAAGCTTCTTTCGTGACTGCAGGGATTCACATTCTTGGTTCTTTCGGTAAAGTCACGTAGAAGGGAAACAATAAAATAAAACGATAAAATTCTCACAACGTTTTGATTGCAGTCTATAGGTCTCTGTATCGGTCTATAGGTCTCTGTGTGAGTCTATAGGTCTCTGTGTGAGTCTATAGGTCTCTGTGTGAGTCTATGGGTCTCTGTGTGAGTCTATGTCTCTGTGAGTCTATAGGTCTCTGTGTGAGTCTATAGGTCTCTGTGTGAGTCTATAGGTCTCTGTGAGTCTGTAGGTCTCTGTGTGAGTCTATGGGTCTCTGTGTGAGTCTATGGGTCTCTGTGAGTCTATAGGTCTCTGTGTGAGTCTATGGGTCTCTGTGTGAGTCTATGGGTCTCTGTGTGAGTCTATGGGTCTCTGTGTGTCTATGGGTCTCTGTGTGAGTCTATAGGTCTCTGTGTGAGTCTATGGGTCTCTGTGTGAGTCTATGTCTCTGTGTGAGTCTATGGTCTCTGTGTGAGTCTATGGGTCTCTGTGTGAGTCTATGGTCTCTGTGAGTCTATGGTCTCTGTGTGAGTCTATGGGTCTCTGTGTGAGTCTATGGTCTCTGTGTGAGTCTATGGTCTGTGTGAGTCTATGGTCTGTGTGAGTCTATGTCTCTGTGTGAGTCTATGGGTCTCTGTGTGAGTCTATGGGTCTCTATGTGAGTCTATGGGTCTCTGTGTGAGTCTATGGGTCTCTGTGAGTCTATGGGTCTCTAGTGAGTCTATGGGTCTCTGTGAGTCTATGGGTCTCTGTGTGAGTCTATGGGTCTCGGTCTGTGTGAGTCTATGGGTCTCTGTGTGGAGTCTATGGGCTCTCTTGTGGAGTCTATGGGTCTCTATGTGAGTCTATGGGTCTCTGTTGAGTCTATAGGGTCTCTGTGTGAGTCTATGGTTCTCTGTGAGTCTATCGGTCTCTGTGTGAGTCTATGGGTCTCTGTGTGAGTCTATGGGTCTCTGTGTGAGTCCTATGGTCTCTGTGTGAGTCTATGGTTCTCTATGTGAGTCTATGGTCCTCTGTGTGAGTCTATAGGTCTCTGTGTGAGTCTATGGGTCTCTGTGTGATCTATGGGTCTCTGTGTGAGTCTATGGGCTCTGTGTGAGTCTATAGGTCTCTGTGTGAGTCTATGGGTCTCTGTGTGAGTCTATAGGTCTCTGTGTGAGTCTATAGGTCTCTGTGTGAGTCTATGGGTCTCTGTGTGAGTCTATGGGTCCTCTGTGTGAGTCTATTGGTCTCTGTGTGAGTCTATTGGTCTCTGTGTGAGTCTATGGGTCTCTGTGGATGAGTCCTATGCTTGGTCTCTGTGTGAGTCTAGGTCTGTGTGAGTCTATAGGTCTCTGTGTGAGTCTATGGGTCTCTGTGTGAGTCTATGGGTCTCTGTGTGAGTCTATAGGTCTCTGTGTGAGTCTATGGGTCTCTGTGTGAGTCTATAGGTCTCTGTGTGAGTCTATAGGTCTCTGTGTGAGTCTATAGGTCTCTGTGTGAGTCTATAGGTCTCTGTGTGAGTCTATAGGTCTCTGTGTGAGTCTATGGTCTCTGTGTGAGTCTATGGTCTCTTAGTGAGTCTATGGGTCTCTGTGTGAGTCTATGGGTCTCTGTGTGATCTATGGTCTCTTTGTGAGTCCTATGGGTCGCTGTGGGAGTCTATGGGGTCTCTGTGTGAGTCTATGGTCTCTGTGTGAGTCCTATGGGTCTCTGGTGAGTCTATGGGTCTCTGTGTGAGTCCTATGGGTCTCTGTGTGAGTCTATGGGTCTCTGTGTGAGTCTATAGGTCTCTGTGTGAGTCTATGGGTCTCTGTGTGAGTCTATGGTCTCTGTGTGAGTCTATGGGTCTCTGTGTGAGTCTTATGGCTGTGTGAGTCTATGGTCTCTGTGTGAGTCTATGGGTCTCTGTGTGAGTCTATGGGTCTCTGTGTGAGTCTATGGGTCTCTGTGTGAGTCTATGGGTCTCTGTGTGAGTCTATGGTCTCTGTGTGAGTATGGTCTCTGTGTGAGTCTATGGGTCTCTGTGTGAGTCTATGGGTCTCTGTGTGAGTCTATGGGTCTCTGTGTGAGTCTATGGGTCTCTGTGTGAGTCTATGGTCTCTGTGTGAGTCTATGGTCTCTGTGTGAGTCTATGGGTCTCTGTGTGAGTCTATGGGTCTCTGTGTGAGTCTATGGGTCTCTGTGTGAGTCTATGGTCTCTGTGTGAGTCTATGGTCTCTGTGTGAGTCTATGGGTCTCTGTGTGAGTCTATGGGTCTCTGTGTGAGTCTATGGGTCTCTGTGTGAGTCTATGGGTCTCTGTGTGAGTCTATGGGTCTCTGTGTGAGTCTATGGTCTCTGTGTGAGTCTATGGTCTCTGTGTGAGTCTATGGGTCTCTGTGTGAGTCTATGGGTCTCTGTGTGAGTCTATGGGTCTCTGTGTGAGTCTATGGTCTCTGTGTGAGTCTATGGTCTCTGTGTGTGTCTATGGTCTCTGTGTGAGTCTATGGGTCTCTGTGTGAGTCTATGGGTCTCTGTGTGAGTCTATGGGTCTCTGTGTGAGTCTATGGGTCTCTGTGTGAGTCTATGGGTCTCTGTGTGAGTCTATGGGTCTCTGTGTGAGTCTATGGGTCTCTGTGTGAGTCTATGGGTCTCTGTGTGAGTCTATGGGTCTCTGTGTGAGTCTATGGGTCTCTGTGTGAGTCTATGGGTCTCTGTGTGAGTCTATGGGTCTCTGTGTGAGTCTATGGGTCTCTGTGTGAGTCTATGGGTCTCTGTGTGCTAGTCTATGGGTCTCTGTGTGAGTCTATGGGTCTCTGTGTGAGTCTATGGGTCTCTGTGTGAGTCTAGGTCTCTGTGTGAGTCTGGTCTCTGTGTGAGTCTATGGGTCTCTGTGTGAGTCTATGGGTCTCTGTGTGAGTCTATGGGTCTCTGTGTGAGTCTATGGTCTGTGTGAGTCTATGGTTCTGTGAGTCTATGGCTCTGTGTGAGTCTATGGTCTCTGTGAGTCTATGGTCTCTGTGTGAGTCTATGGTCTCTGTGTGAGTCTATGGTCTCTGTGAGTCTATGGGTCTCTGTGTGAGTCTATGGTCTCTGTGTGAGTCTATGGTCTCTGTGTGAGTCTATGGTCTCTGTGTGAGTCTATAGGTCTCTGTGAGTCTATGGGTCTCTGTGTGAGTCTATGGGTCTCTGTGTAGTGTATCGGTCTCTGTGTGAGTCTATATGTCTCTGTGTAAGTCTATGGGTCTCTGTGTGAGTCTATGGGTCTCTGTGTGAGTCTATGGGTCTCTATGTGAGTCTCTGTGTGAGTCTCTGTGTGAGTCTCTGTGTGAGTCTCTGTGTGAGTCTATGGGTCTCTGTGTGAGTCTCTGTGTGAGTCTATGGGTCTCTGTGTGAGTCTATGAGTCTCTGTGTGAGTCTATGGGTCTCTGTGTGAGTCTATGAGTCTCTGTGTGAGTCTAATCGTAGGTTCCGGGGGGGAAGGTGACAACACAAACTCGACACACGTGAAGTTTCGTCAATCTGGGCTATGATTTAAAAGTGCCACAGCTCCCAGTGGCTACCTAACATCCGGGAGGAAGAGAGCGTTCCAGACGGCCGCGGGAGCAGCGCATCTGAAAGCGCCGCGCGATGCCGAACAGTGCGAGAAACAAACGTCCGACAGATGGCTGGAGGGCAAATCGATGAGCGAAGTCTGTCGGAACGGCAACCACGGTCGTCGCGATATCAAAATGACCGCGAAGGTGAACTACGACCGCCTACGCGAGCGAACCGGCGAGCGCTGGATCATCAATCTACCTCCACTGCTTTACGTTGACTTCTACATCAAGAGCTGGACCGGGTTGGGGTGTTGCAGTTCGGCTTTGAAGGGGAATCTTTGGTGTTAGGATTTCGGCCCCAAGGGACGTCCCTCAGACCCGCTGTAACCCCTCCTCCTTGCGCGGAATTTGCGTGGACAGGTTTGTCTCGGCCTTTCAAAAACACACGGGGCTGCCTTGTTTCTCCCAAGAGGCCCACAATGGCCGCGTCAAAGACACGGAGCCAGAATCAATATTAATTGTACGTACACGCGCGCGCTTGGAACGTATCCCTCGTCGCGAGCAACGAGGGAGAATCGTTCACGATAAAGTTTTTGGGTCAGATCGCGTTATTTATAAATGTGTCGTAACCCTCCACCACCCCGACACTCACAAACAGTAAAAAAAGTGTCACGTTGACAAAAGACAAATAGTTCACCACTTTAGCCCACCGGTGTGTTGAAGAGTGATTTAACATCACTCCCGACCAAGCAACTTGGCGGGTTTTGGTGTGGCTTGTCAATGGTGGTTCTCCTTGGCTAAATTGGGCCCCACACCACCACCACCACCGCAGTCGTAATGTGGAATTTCCACAGTCCTGGTTCAGTGTCGCCTACCGAAATGATAATCGCCCTGTGCTCGTTTGAGCAGAGAGCCTGGATGTGGTAGGTAATGCTCAATATCCTATTCTTGCTCTCCAGCCTAAAGGCCCGGCAAGTATCTTTCTTGGATGACAAATTACAATCCGCTAATTGCACTGGACAAACTAATATATCCGCAATATAAATACTATTGTACAGCGCCTTTGCCAAATCCACTGCTGCATGAGCGCCTTCCCACGCCGGGCGGATCAAAGAGGTTTGTTGTTGTGGCCATACTTGACCCCTCCAGTCGGTGTTGGTTGGTTGGTAGAGCTGGGTGGTTGTTGGGGTTTTACTCGGAGGCTGCGAGTCAAATCCAGGTTGGGGGTTGACTCGGCTCCATCATCCCTCTGGGGTGGATAAAATACCACTTTATTGGCGAAGTCAACAGTGGTTCAAAAGAGAGAACTGGCCCCCAACATGGGAAGGTGGAGTGTCCACCATGGGCACCGCCCACCAGTACCACGACCGCCCCGCCCAAAACCACTTTGAACTTTGACCTGCGACGGATCGAACCGGGCCTTGTGGGACCTTGCGGGCTTGGTGGGCAGCATTGGGGGTCACCTTCCTGATCGCCCCGTCCTCCCTCGCCCTCCTTCCCTGTCCGATTTCCTCCCCACCCCCCCAACTGTCACCAGACGAGGTCGCGACCCCATCAGTAGGGCCCCGGCTGCGTGCGCTGGCGCGGGCGACGCTAGGTCGCCTGGCGGGGCCGTCCGGGGCGTCGTCGGGGACGGCGCGCGGAGTGGCGCGCGACCTGGCGGCCGTGCTCCTCGGCCTCAAGCCGTGCCTCGTGTACGACGCGTCCGCGGCGAGCGCCGCGCGCGTGCTGGCCTTCGCCCAGGGCCTAGCGGCCCTGGGCCACCTGCCGCCGGGAGGCCTCGCCGTCGTCGAGCTGAGCGGGCAGCCCCTGGTGGTGGGGTCGGCGGGGGCGGCGGCCGCGTCGCTGAGGCGGCGGCTCGCGCGCGGCCTCCTCGGCGTCGTGGACGTGACGGCGGGGAGGCCGCCGGCGCCGCTGGACTCGCGGCGGCTGGAGACCCTGAGCGGCGACGTGCGGGCGCTGTGCGACGCGCTGGAGGCTCGAGAGCGGAACCGACGCCGCCGGGGAGCGAGACGACGCGGAGAAACGGAGGAGCGGGACGGGGCAGGAGGCGCGGAGCGGGAAGACGACGGTGACGGGAGGGAGAACGGCGACTCGGGGAGCGACGTCGGGAAATTGACGGGGGAAGCGTCGAGCGACGGCGGGGCGGGGAAACGTTACGACGCGGCACGGGGCGAAGACGAGGCGACGCGGGGCGAAGACCCCGGTGGGGAGGGCGACGTCTACGACCTCCTGGCGATCCCGGACGAGCTCTCTGCCGGCTGGAACCTGTGCACCGTGTACGGGCTGCTGCTGGGCTACCCGGTGTGCTACTGGTTCCGCTGCGACGACCCCGCCGACGGCACGGGCAGCGCGCTGGACGGCGAGCCGTTGGCGGTGCACCGCGCCGTCGCCGAGCTGCGAGGGCTCGACGGAAGAGGCGGTGGGGCCGACGGCGGCGCGGGTCTCCGGCACACCCTCTGCTCGTTCAGCGTCCCCGTGCGGCTGGCGGAGGCGCTGGCGCCGCTGGTGGAAGAGTGGCGCGCCGACATGCGACGGGCGTTCGCCCGGCAGCGCCGATTTTGCCGCTTGGAGCTAGAGGAGAGCCGCGTGTGCCTGTCCCGCGTCGCGCTCTGAACGCCCCGTCCCCCTTTTTCCACGGGCACATCAGACCCCCCCCCCTCCTCCGCGCCCCCCCAAGCTTAGCCCCGCAAACGGAATGTAAGCGGGGGCAGCGTTACGTTTCGAGGTCGGTGATTGAAGATTCAAGACAGAGCTACACGTTGCTGCTGCTGCCCCATCAGTCATCTCCATCGACCACGTGGTGGCTCGTCCAGCCAGCCACCGCCCGCTCCCGGCACGTCGCCAGCCAGCGGCGAGGCGGAGAGTGGGTGAACACAGCTCGCGGAGAACAACACGCCGTCCGCAAGAGGGAGGGAGAAGTCGGTTGTTACCAGAAGCTTTAATAAAGAAAGAATGAGTAAAGTTTCACCGTCGTCGGAGACTATTATTACACGAACACCAAACTGAATCCGCTTTCAAGGAATCCTGTGTGCATTAACCCACACGGTACTTGTGGTGAACATGCCAACAAAAAAGCACGCTCCGATAATATACAGCGAGGGAAAAAAGTATTTGATCCCCTTGCTGATTTTGTACGTTTGCCCACTGACAAAGAAATGATCAGTCTATAATTTTAACGGTAGGTTTATTTGAACAGTGAGAGACAAAATCCCTCCAGAGATGTGTGCAAACCTGGTGACCAACTACAAGAAACGTCTGACCTCTGTGATTGCCAACAAGGGTTTTGCCACCAAGTACTAAGTCATGTTTTGCAGAGGGGTCAAATACTTATTTCCCTTATTAAAATGCAAATCAATTTATATAATTTTTGACATGCGTTTTTCTGGATTTTTCTGTTATTCTGTCTCACTGTTCAAATAAACCTACCATTAAAAGTATAGACTGATCATTTCTTTGTCAGTGGGCAAACGTACAAAATCAGCAGGGGATCAAATACTTTTTTCCCTCGCTGTATATGCATCCGTTGTCTTTGCAACTGATTGGTCCACACCAGAAACGGCTTTTTTATACGTTCCAATAAAACACGTGGCGCTCGCTCGCTCGCCCTCTCGTTCCCGATTTGCGACTTCGCAGACGCCACCGCCGGCGCCACCGCCGATGCAGCCGCCGATGCAGCCGCCGATGCAGCCGCCGATGCAGCCGATGATGCAGCCGCCGATGCAGCCGCCGATGCAGCCGATGCAGCCGATGCAGCCGATGATGCAGCCGCCGATGCAGCCGCCGATGCAGCCGATGCAGCCGATGATGCAGCCGCCGATGCAGCCGCCGATGCAGCCGATGCAGCCGCCGATGCAGCTGGGCCGTCGGCGACAGCCTCCCTCCACGAGGCGCTGTTCGGAAAGGCGCCGCCGGGAAACCTCCGTCACCACCACCGCCTCCGCTTGCGCCGCCCGGCCGTGTTTTCCGGCCTCGCCCGCTCGTGGCCGGCAATGGGCTGGAGCCCCGCGGCACTGGCGGACGTGATGGGCGAGCGCCGGCTCATGTTCCGCGTCGGGCCCAAGCGGCGCCCTGCCGAGTCGGCGGCGGAGATGGAGCCCGAGTTGGAGACGGATTGCGGTCACGTCCTCGCCACGGTGGCGGAGTTTGTCGCGTGGGTCGCCGCCGACGGGGATGATGAAGGGGTGAAGGCTGGAGACGGCGATGGGGACGACGGTGGAGACGACGGTGGGGATGATGATGGGGTGAACGAACGGGTGAACGAAGGGAAGGGCGACGATGGGATGAACGATGGGGTTAACGAAGGGGTGGGCGACAAGGGGGTGAACAAAGTGGCCAGCGACGATGGGATGAACGAAGGGATGAACGATGGGATGAACGATGGGATGAACGATGGGATGAACGATGGGGTGAACGATGGGATGAACGATGGGATGAACGATGGGATGAACGATGGGATGAACGATGGGTGAACGATGGGGTGAACGATGGGGTGAACGATGGGGTGAACGATGGGATGAACGATGGGATGAACGATGGGATGAACGATGGGATGAACGATGGGATGAACGATGGGATGAACGATGGGGTGAACGATGGGGTGAACGATGGGGTGAACGAAAGGAAGGGCGACGATGGGATGAGCGAAGGGGCGAGCCAAGGGGGTTTGGGCGACGATGGGGTGGCTGCCACAGGGGCGAGTCAAACGGCGGACGTAGGCGCGCTGCGTGGAGTGTCGCGCCGCGACTCGTGGCTCTACGCCGACTACATGCACATGGCGCTGCTCTTCCGGGACCACCCCAACTTGCTCAAGGTAACGAGCGAGCCGGACCCGGGGGGGAGGGACCCGATAACCTAAGAGGGATGTTAGATTCTAGATTTAAAGCTTTCGTGACTGCAAGGATTCATATTCTTAGGTTTTTTCGGTAAAGTCACGTAGGTAAAAAATTTAAATTAATAAAAGTAAAATAAAAATCACGACGTTTCGGAGGCAACACAAGCTTCCGTCTTGATGCAGCAGTCGTGCTGTGACGGTTCCACCTGAAGACGGAAGCTTGTGTTGCCTCCGAAACGTCGTGATTTTTATTTTACTTTTATTTTTTATTAATTTACATTTTTTACCTACGTGACTTTAACGAAAAAACCTATAAATAGGGACGTTAGAATTTTGGTAACGAATGCCACGGACAAGGAGGGGCGCTCCGGTAGATCCCCGACCGATGCCGATGCTGACACCGATTTTCAAAGAGGTTCTAATCCACCGATTGCCGATGATATATTGACCGGCGCTTTGTCAAAAAAATGGGACATTTTGAAATCTGTTTGAAAAAGTTATTTGAGAATTTGAACTATACTATTGTAGTGTTGTACTCACACAGTCTTAACTCTCCACCTGTGTCACTTTATTTACCTTGCATCCAGTGTGGATGCTCCTCACTCTCCACTAAACACACACACACCCTTCGTTCCAAACTCCCCGACTTCCCCTCACTGACCTCCGTGCGCCCCGTGCTATCCTCTCACTTTCCTAACTCCGGACTTAAAGCTTCCGTGACTGCAGGAATTCATATTCTTGGGTTTTTCGGTAAAGCCTTTGAACCTGTCTACGTGACTTTACCGAAAGACCCAAGAATAAGAATATCTTTGGTTCTTTCAGTAAAGTCACGTCGGTAGAAAAATTATAGATCACAACGTTTCGATCGCAACACAAGCAATCGTCATCGTACAGCAGCGCGGCGATCGTGTTCCTACGGTTTTCTGCTGCGAGTAACGGCGTCTTTAAACACAGCGGCGCTACTACGCCTCTCTTAATTAAAATGAACACTGGGCCGTTTGCGCGTTCCCAGATTCGGCGGTGAACGGGACACCCACCCGCCCACGCCCTGCAACTTGCCGACGTCTCGGAACGGCGAAGGGTCAGTTGCCTTAACGGATCGTCCCAGCATCATCTCTGATCTTTGTGCGGGGTGGCGTTGGCGGTTACTTTCAGGGGCTGCGCTGGGAGGAGCTGGGCTTCCTGGGGCGCTCTGGAGCCGACAGCACGCTGTGGCTGGGCAGCGAGGGAGCCAACACGCCCTGTCACTTTGACACCTACGGCTTCAACCTCGTGCTGCAGATCTACGGGCGGTGAGCGGAGTAGCGCCGCTCCGTTCTCATACAGTGCCGACCTCATTACAGACCAATTCAGACCGTATTGGTCGCCCCGTGCCCCCTATACATCTCAACGTTCATCCTACAAAGTGCCATCACCAGGGAGAAACATAAACAAATAGACACAAACACATTTTTAAATCCTTTATATTAAGTTCGCTTGCTTGCGTGCTTGCTTGCTTGCTTACGACCGTGCAAATCTTTCGGTCGTTTTTTAATCCACTTCCCGTGATCCAATCGAGCTGACATTTTGCACACAGACTCGTTGTGCGTGACAATTAATTTTCGTGAAAAAATTTTTTTCCAAAATTTTACACTGTTTAGGGATAACAAATTAAATATTTAATTACCAATTGCTTAATACTGGCAGACAATCATCTGACCCATAGGTGGCAGCCATCTCAAGCCAGAGGACGAGAGGACTCTAGCCGCCACGCATATAAAGGATTTATAGTGAAAAACTTAGTTTTTACGGGTTAATTTTTTGTTGTCCGTATTGAAACGGCTGTGAGGCCGTATGGACCCGAAAACTCAATTTGCCTGCACAAGAGTACGGGTAAACCGTATGGATTGACACTACAATACACTACACTATTATACGCTACACAAATATATAAAAAAAACTACTTGCCATATTGAAGCGGCTGTCCGGGTGTGCCGCTGGCCACGTCACCCCCCCCCCCCCCCCCCGCTCGTGTGCCGTGCCGGCCTTCTTTACGCGCTCGCCAACAGCATTTGCCCCAGCGGTCTGTCAAGGCTGCACTGGTGGATCTTTCACCATTGGAACCTCATTTGCCAGTAAAAAATATGATAATTGGTTTTTTACCCTTTTATCTGGCAACAAAACTGACACCTTTTTTACAAGGAGTCATGTTTGTATGGACCACAATACCTGCGGTTATAATGCAAACAAAAAACATTACTCTGATAATAATATGCACTGTCCTTGAAGTTGATTGGTCCACACCCGAGACAGCTTTCATTAGAGCCTAGTCTCACATGGTGTTGGACCAGATGACGCCAAAATGCGCAACTTCAAGGACAGTGCATATATTATCAGAGTTATGTTTTTTGTTTGCAAACATGACTCCTTGTAAAAAAGGTGTCAGTTTTGTTGCCAGATAAAAGGGTAAAAAAACCAATCATAATTTTTTACTGGCAAATAAGGTACCAATGGTGTAAATGCTTACCCCGAGCTCATGCTCTGATGGTGCATTGTCTTTGAGTTGTGCGCCTTTTGGCGTCATCTGGTCCAACACCATGTGAGACTAGGCTCTAAGGAAAGCTGTCTCGGGTGTGGACCAATCAATTTCAAGGACAGTGCATACATTATCAGAGTTATGTGTTTTGTTTGCATTACGACCGCAGGTATTGTGGTCAATGCAAACATGACTCCTTGTAAAAAAGGTGTCAGTTTAGTTGCCAGATAGAAGGGTAAAAAACCAATTATCACGGTGGATCTTTGTTTGTTTGTTGTTGTGTTACGCAGGAAGCGCTGGCACCTGTTTCCCCCGGGCGACTCGCCGCTCCTGCAGCCGACGCGCGTTCCCTACGAGGAGTCGAGCGTCTTCAGTCGCGTACACCCGCTCAGCGTACACCCGCTCAGCCTCGGCCAGCGGCGCTCACGCCGGCTGAGCCGCGCTCGCCGCCACCGCATCACGCTGCTGCCTGGCCAGGTACCGGGGTGGGTGGGGGGTGGGTGGGTGGGGTGGGAGGGGGTATGGGAGGGAAAGACCCAATGATGAACCCCCCTCCCCCCCCGGTCCGTGAAAAAATTGTCTTCCAAGAAACCGGTGCCTGCTGCTAAAAAGGTTGGGGACCGCTGCTGTAGGTGACATTGAGTGTGCCCATTAACCCGTACGGTTTTACCCCGTACTCTTGTACAGGCAAATTGAGTTTTCATGTCCATGTGGCAAAACAGCCATTTCAATACGGGCAAATAATAAAAATTGACAATTTGTGTTGTTCTTCTTGGTTCTTTCGGTAAAGTCACGTAGAAGGGAAGTAATAAAATAATAAAAATAAAACATAATAAAACATAATAAAACAATTCTCACGACGTTTCGGCCACAACGCAAGCAGCCGTCCTCTTCGCCTGAGGACGGCTGCTTGCGTTGTGGGCGAAACGTCGTGAGAATTGTTTTATGTTTTATTTTTATTATTTTATTACTTCCCTTCTACGTGACTTTACCGAAAGAACCAAGAAGATGAATCCCTGCAGTCACGAAAGCTTTAAATCGAAATTTGTGTTGTGTTTCTCCCTTGTGATTGGACATTGTTGGATGAACGTTGATATTCATAAGGGCACGGGGTGACCAATAAGGTCTGAATTGGTCTCTAATAATGTAGGGCACTGATAAGGGGTTGACAGGTATGAGTAAGTGTTTTTGTGGAATGAGGAGTGGTGGGATGAGTGGTTGCGTGAGAGTGATGAGGTGAGCGTCTTTGTGGGAGGAGTGGTGGGATGAGTGGTTTTGTGGGAGTGGTGGGATGAGTGCTTGCGTGAGAGTGATGAGGTGAGCGTCTTTGTGGGAGGAGTGGTGGGATGAGTGGTTGCGTGAGCTTGAGGAGGAGTGATGGGATGAGTGGTTTGCTTGACCTTGAGGAGGAGTGGTGGGATGAGTGGTTTGCGTGAGCTTGAGGAGGAGTGGTGGGATGAGTGGTTTGCGTGAGCTTGAGGAGGAGTGGTGGGATGAGTGGTTTGCGTGAGCTTGAGGAGGAGTGGTGGGATGAGTGGTTTGCGTGAGCTTGAGGAGGAGTGGTGGGACGAGTGCTTTGCGTGAGCTTGAGGAGCAGGAGTGGTGGGATGAGTGCTTTGCGTGAGCTTGAGCAGGAGTGGTGGGATGAGTGCTTTGCGTGAGCTTGAGGAGGAGGATTGGTGGGATGAGTGGTTTGCATGAGCTTGAGCAGGAGTGGTGGGATGAGTGGTTTGCGTGAGCTTGAGCAGGAGTGGTGGGATGAGTGCTTTGCGTGAGCTTGAGGAGGAGGATTGGTGGGATGAGTGGTTTGTGTGAGCTTGAGCAGGAGTGGTGGGATGAGTGGTTTGCGTGAGCTTGAGGAGGAGGATTGGTGGGATGAGTGGTTTGCATGAGCTTGAGCAGGAGTGGTGGGATGAGTGGTTTGTGTGAGCTTGAGCAGGAGTGGTGGGATGAGTGGTTTGCGTGAGCTTGAGGAGGAGGATTGGTGGGATGAGTGCTTTGCGTGAGCTTGAGGAGGAGGAGTGGTGGGATGAGTGCTTTGCGTGAGCTTGAGCAGGAGTGGTGGGATGAGTGGTTTGCGTGAGCTTGAGGAGGAGGAGTGGTGGGATGAGTGGTTTGCGTGAGCTTGAGGAGGAGGAGTGGTGGGATGAGTGGTTTGTGTGAGCTTGAGGAGGAGGATTGGTGGGATGAGTGGTTTGCGTGAGCTTGAGGAGGAGGAGTGGTGGGATGAGTGCTTTGCGTGAGCTTGAGGAGGAGGAGTGGTGGGATGAGTGGTTTGCGTGAGCTTGAGGAGGAGGAGTGGTGGGACGAGTGGTTTGCGTGAGCTTGAGGAGGAGGAGTGGTGGGATGAGTGGTTTGCGTGAGCTTGAGGAGGAGGAGTGGTGGGATGAGTGGTTTGCGTGAGCTTGAGGAAGAGTGGTGGGATGAGTGGTTTGCGTGAGCTTGAGGAGGAGGAGTGGTGGGATGAGTGGTTTGCGTGAGCTTGAGGAGGAGTGGTGGGACGAGTGGTTTGCGTGAGCTTGAGGAGGAGGAGTGGTGGGATGAGTGCTTTGCGTGAGCTTGAGGAGGAGGAGTGGTGGGATGAGTGGTTTGCGTGAGCTTGAGGAAGAGTGGTGGGATGAGTGGTTTGCGTGAGCTTGAGGAGGAGGAGTGGTGGGATGAGTGGTTTGCGTGAGCTTGAGGAGGAGTGGTGGGATGAGTGGTTTGCGTGAGCTTGAGGAGGAGGAGTGGTGGGATGAGTGCTTTGCGTGAGCTTGAGCAGGAGTGGTGGGACGAGTGCTTTGCGTGAGCTTGAGGAGGAGTGGTGGGACGAGTGCTTTGCGTGAGCTTGAGGAGGAGTGGTGGGACGAGTGCTTTGCGTGAGCTTGAGGAGGAGTGGTGGGATGAGTGGTTTGCGTGAGCTTGAGGAGGAGTGGTGGGACGAGTGGTTTGCGTGAGCTTGAGGAGGAGGAGTGGTGGGATGAGTGCTTTGCGTGAGCTTGAGGAGGAGGAGTGGTGGGATGAGTGGTTTGCGTGAGCTTGAGGAAGAGTGGTGGGATGAGTGGTTTGCGTGAGCTTGAGGAGGAGGAGTGGTGGGATGAGTGGTTTGCGTGAGCTTGAGGAGGAGTGGTGGGATGAGTGGTTTGCGTGAGCTTGAGGAGGAGGAGTGGTGGGATGAGTGCTTTGCGTGAGCTTGAGCAGGAGTGGTGGGACGAGTGCTTTGCGTGAGCTTGAGGAGGAGGAGTGGTGGGACGAGTGCTTTGCGTGAGCTTGAGCAGGAGTGGTGGGACGAGTGCTTTGCGTGAGCTTGAGGAGGAGTGGTGGGACGAGTGCTTTGCGTTAGCTTGAGCAGGAGTGGTGGGACGAGTGCTTTGCGTGAGCTTGAGGAGGAGGAGTGGTGGGATGAGTGCTTTGCGTGAGCTTGAGGAGGAGGAGTGGTGGGATGAGTGCTTTGCGTGAGCTTGAGCAGGAGTGGTGGGACGAGTGGTTTGCGTGAGCTTGAGGAAGAGTGGTGGGATGAGTGGTTTGCGTGAGCTTGAGGAGGAGGAGTGGTGGGATGAGTGCTTTGCATGAGCTTGAGCAGGAGTGGTGGGATGAGTGCTTTGCGTGAGCTTGAGGAGGAGGAGTGGTGGGATGAGTGCTTTACGTGAGCTTGAGCAGGAGTGGTGGGATGAGTGGTTTGTGTGAGCTTGAGGAGGAGGAGTGGTGGGATGAGTGCTTTGCATGAGCTTGAGCAGGAGTGGTGGGATGAGTGCTTTGCGTGAGCTTGAGGAGGAGGAGTGGTGGGATGAGTGCTTTGCGTGAGCTTGAGCAGGAGTGGTGGGATGAGTGGTTTGTGTGAGCTTGAGGAGGAGGAGTGGTGGGATGAGTGCTTTACGTGAGCTTGAGAAGGAGTGGTGGGATGAGTGGTTTGCGTGAGCTTGAGGAGGAGGAGTGGTGGGATGAGTGCTTTGCGTGAGCTTGAGGAGGAGGAGTGGGACGAGTGTTTTGCGTGAGCTTGAGGAGGAGGAGTGGGACGAGTGTTTTGCGTGAGCTTGAGCAAGAGTGGTGGGATGAGTGGTTTGCGTGAGCTTGAGGAGGAGGAGTGGGACGAGTGTTTTGCGTGAGCTTGAGCAAGAGTGGTGGGATGAGTGGTTTGTGTGAGCTTGAGGAAGAGTGGTGGGATGAGTGGTTTGCAGTGAGCTTGAGGAGGAGGAGTGGTGGGATGAGTGCTTTGCGTGAGCTTGAGGAGGAGGAGTGGGACGAGTGTTTTGCGTGAGCTTGAGGAGGAGGAGTGGGACGAGTGTTTTGCGTGAGCTTGAGCAAGAGTGGTGGGATGAGTGGTTTGCGTGAGCTTGAGGAGGAGGAGTGGGACGAGTGTTTTGCGTGAGCTTGAGCAAGAGTGGTGGGATGAGTGCTTTGCGTGAGCTTGAGGAGGAGGAGTGGGACGAGTGTTTTGCGTGAGCTTGAGCAAGAGTGGTGGGATGAGTGGTTTGTGTGAGCTTGAGGAGGAGGAGTGGTGGGATGAGTGCTTTGCGTGAGCTTGAGAAGGAGTGGTGGGATGAGTGCTTTGCGTGAGCTTGAGGAGGAGGAGTGGGACGAGTGCTTTGCGTGAGCTTGAGGAGGAGGAGTGGTGGGATGGGTGCTTTGCTTGAGCAGGAGTGGTGGGATGAGTGCTTTGCGTGAGCTTGAGGAGGAGGAGTGGTGGGATGAGTGCTTTGTGTGAGCTTGAGGAGGAGGAGTGGTGGGATGAGTGGTTTGCGTGCTCCCCGGCTACCTGTTGTCGCAGATCCTGTTTGTGCCGCCCCTCTGGTGGCACTACGTGGAGAGCCTGGACCAGGCCACGGTGAGCGCCAACACGTGGGTAGAGCTGGTGAGTTCCTCTCTCTCTGCCTGTCGCTCACGCGGCCACCACACAGCCGGTTCTGGTCAATCTCCCGGCGCGGCAGGTGACGGTGCGAGTTTCTTAAACCGCCCCTCTCTCCTCCCCGCCCGCCCTCGCCATCGCCTCTGTCCACTCGGCAGCAACGGGTACATCGCGGTTTGGTCGATCGGCAGGTCCGCGTGTGTGCGGTGGGGTAAAGTGTGGGCGTGCGCCTACCGCTGCCAATGCGTCTGGCGACAGTGGAACTTTATGGCAGGACCTGTTGTGTATTGTTCTTATTGTGTATTGTCATTGTTCTATAGTGTTATTGTTGTTTATTGCTATTGTTGTGTACTGTTGTTGTGTATTGTCATTGTTCTTTACTGTTATTGTTGTTTATTGCCATTGTTGTTTACTGTTGTTGTGTATTGTCATTGTTCTTTACTGTTATTGTTGTTTGTTGCCATTGTTGTTTACTGTTGTTGTGTATTGTCATTGTTCTTTACTGTTATTGTTGTTTATAGCCATTGTTGTTTACTGTTGTTGTGTATTGTCATTGTTCTTTACTGTTATTGTTGTTTATTGCCATTGTTGTGTACTGTTGTTGTGTATTGTCATTGTTCTTTACTGTTATTGTTGTTTATTGCCATTGTTGTTTACTGTTGTTGTCGTGTATTGTCATTGTTCTTTGTTGTGATTTTGTAGTCATTGTTATTTCGGGGCCGTCCATAAATGACGTCACGCATCTGGGGGGGGGGGGGGGTCAGACATTTGTGACGATGTGTAACGAGAGGGGGAGGGTTTGAGAAATGTGACGTCACATCAAAATGCGCAACTTTAAATAAATATAGACAACACGTTCTACTTAATTAAATAGACTTTTTTATAAATGTTTTCTCCTACAACATCAGAGTGCAGCGCCACATTATATATGCACTACAATGACAATAGTTTAAAGCGATTTGAAGCATGTTTTATATTTATTTTTGGGGGGGGGCAGAGCTTTATGACGTCATATTTTATGGGGGGGGTCTGACTTTTTGTGATGCCGTGTGACGAAGTGGGGGGGGGGTCAAAATTTGTCCAAAATCGCGTGACGTCATTTATGGACGGCACCTTATTGTCATTGTGTATTGTTAATCTTCTTTATGATTGTTGTGAACTGTCATTGCACGGTTGGCTACACACGGCGCGAAATAAGTCCAACGTACATAAATAGTGCATTGTTCTTTATATGTATTGTTGTGTAGTCATTGTCCTTTCTGTTGTTTTCATTATCGCCAGAGGTCGCAACCGGGTACCCGATACCCGTACCCTACCCGATACCCGACTACCCGTACCCGGCTGGGTACGGGTAGTCGTTTGCGACCCTGGTGCAGCCAGGTACGGGTACGGGTAGGCCGTGAGTCACTGGTGAGTAACCGTTTTTGTCACTCATTTCCCAACGTCTTGTCTCTTCTCACAATTCAAGTTCCTAGAATCAACCCACCCGCGCCTGCAACATGGCTTCATTCCAGAAGTCGCAATCGGGTACCCGATACCCGTACCCTACCCGATACCCGGCCGGGTACGGGTAGGGTACGGGTAGCCGGGTATCGGGTAGGGTACGGGTATCGGGTAGGGTAGCCGGGTATCGGGTAGGGTACGGGTATCGGGTAGGGTACGGGTATCGGGTAGGGTAGCCGGGTATCGGGTAGGGTACGGGTATCGGGTAGGGTACGGGTATCGGGTAGGGTACGGGTACCCGTTTGCGACCCTGGTGCGGCCGGGTACGGGTAAGGAATCAAAACCCGTTTGCGACCTCTGATTGCCGTACATTGTCATTGTTGTTGACTGTTTGTCGCTGATGGCTGATGTGTCCGTAGGAGTCGGACCACGAGGCTCGCCTGCAGGAGGCCCTGGCGCGGATCGTCGTCTGCGCCGTCAAGACCCAGCCTCACCCCGACAACCTGGCCCGCTGGCTCAACCCCTCCGAGGTCACGACCCTGACCCCTGACCCCTAACCCCTGACCTGAGCCATGACCTTAACCTCATTAACTATAACCCTAAAGTAGATAACCACGCTCGCTGGCTCAACCCCTCCGAGGTTACGACCCTGACCCCTGACCCCTAACCCCTGACCTGAGCCATGACCTTAACCTCATTAACTATAACCCTAAAGTAGATAACCACGCTCGCTGGCTCAACCCCTCCGAGGTCACGACCCTGACCCCTGACCCCTAACCCCTGACCTGAGCCATGACCTTAACCTCATTAACTATAACCCTAAAGTAGATAACCACGCCCGCTGGCTCAACCCCTCCGAGGTTACGACCCTGACCCCTGACCCCTAACCCCTGACCTGAGCCATGACCTTAACCTCATTAACTATAACCCTAAAGTAGATAACCACGCTCGCTGGCTCAACCCCTCCGAGGTCATGACCCTGCCCCCTGACCCCTGACCCTAACCCCTGACCTGAACCATGACCTTAACCTCATTAACTATAACCCTAAAGTTGATCAACCCCGCTCGCTGGCTCAACCCCTCCGAGGTCATTCCCCTGACCTGAACCATGACCTTTAACCCCTTTACCCATAACCCTGAGAATTAGAGAAGAAGTAAACGGTTTAAGTGTCGTACTGCTGCTGCGTGGATCAAGAGGTCGCTTCAAGAAGGGATTTAGGATGCGGCTCTCTGGCGCCCGCTTCAGCGGGCCGTTCTCCCGTGACACCAGCGTCCTGAGAAATCTCGCAGCGCGGCGCGGACTCCACGCCCCGATCGTAGAGTCGGAATAAATCGGTGGTGGGGGGGCGGGAGGGCGCAGGGGGGGAAAGACAAAATAATTTATAGGTCTCATTGCGTGGGAGTCATGTGACACGGGGTCGAATAAGAGATTAAAGTTGAATTACTAACCCGCAAAAAACTCTCTCCCCCCTCCCCCGCCCATCCTTCTAGGATGACGACGTCAGCTACGAGACGAACCTCCGCTACCTCAACGCGGCTCTCCGAGCTCTGCCCGGCTCCTCGCGGTCGGAAGCCTTCCACCAGCACCAGGGCGGCTCCCGCCCAGCGAAGAAGCGCAAGGCCGACGAGTCGGCGCTCGGCAGCTGCTGCAGCTGCAGCTGCCACGGCGATCGCCGCAGCCAGACTACGGGGGGCGAATCTCCGTCGGAAGATCACGAGGGGGGCGGCGCTCCCAGCATGCCGTGCGGCGCTTTCCTCGTCCCGTCGGATCCCGGTTCCGACTCCCCGACCTCCGACGAGGAGGAACCCGCGGCGCGCGAGAGCCAGGGGGTCGTTGCCGAGGGTGCCGGCGAGGACGTTGCCGTGGATACGGACACGCTGTTGGAGTGCGTCGCTCACCCGGACGTGGTGAGGGAGATCGCGAGGCTGCTGAGGCAGCGGCTCAACGTGTAGGCGGCTCGCTTGTGAGTTTAAATTGCGAGGAAAAGAGAACGGAGCACGAGGCGTGCGGGGAGCAACGCACACACGGCGGGGGTTGTCAACTTAATCCGGGTGTCGCATCTGAGCGGTCGTCCGTGTGACTCGATCGCCCGCCCGCACGCGACTGCTTTGTCCGCGTCTCGGCGGGCAGTTGCGTGGCTAAAGCGCGACTCGCACCCTCTCTACGGCAGCTGAGCCAGCCCCACCCGCTCTCGTTCTGCATTGTACTGCACGGCGAGGGGGGGAGGCGAGGGAAGTGTGGTGGCATTGCCGCCGCCCACCACTGAGAGGCCGGGGGAAACGACGGCGCGCCATGGAGCTACGGGCCACGTGCGAGGTGAGCGTCCCCGAGGTCGATGGCAGGCTCCTTGCCAAGGCCTCGGCCTGTAGAAGCCGTCAAAAAAGAAATGTGCCGGTTGAAGCGGTGAAACGTCTTGGAAACAGTTCCACGACAGCTGCTTGTCCGTACGGTGGCTTTAATAAAACACTTTACGAGGTCGCACTCATCTTCTTGGTTCTTTCGGTAAAGTCACGTGACTTTAAAGTCACCTGACTTTACCGAAAGAACCAAGAAGATGAATCCCTGCAGTCACGAAAGCTTTAAATCTAAATTTCAGGTCGCACTCGTTACACACCAAGTGCTGGCCACAAATGAACCACGGCGCCTCGCTGATGTCGTCAAGGAGGATAAACCATCAACCTCTCAGCAGCAGCGGCAGCGGCTTTTGGCTGCTGGTCATTGAACAAAGGCGGTGGTCACCGCATGGTCGCGTGGCGCTTTCAAATGCGCTGCTTCCAGGGGCGGTTTCTTCATTAGGGCGATTGGGCGACGCACCACCAATGTCATTCAACCACAGAGTCACGCTAGCCGTCACTGTGCCTCTGGATATAGTCCAATCAGCGTCATGTCACGTTCTGTGGAGTACCGCCTCTTTTTGGGCGATTTCACTCCGGCTGAGAATCGCCCCGAGTGGCCCCATAGACTTACATTCAAAGATGTTTTTTTTCGAACGGGGGCGCTGCAATGCATTCTCTATGGCTTCCGGGAGGGCTCGCCCTAACGTGCTTACGTCATCATACGTAAGCACGTTTCATCCAACAATATAATTTGTCGCCACCTTGTGGAATCTTTAATAAAATAAACTTGAGTGGATTCTATTAATAGTGAGTATAGAAACAAACAAGGAGATGTATTGTAAGAGTCACTTTATTTTTCATTAATATTAAAGAAGTGAAGTTGCCTTTACATGCTTAAGCTGTTAATGTATCCATTGCATGGGTGGACCTTATCCTTATCAATCATCCAGACATTTGCCCCCCCTGAGAGATTTTGCAGGAGCCGCCACTGACTGCTTCTGCAGCCGTCTGGAACGCTCTTCCTTCCGATATCAGGAAGCCACTGGAGCTATGCATTTTGAAATAATCTCGATTGAAAACTCTTTAGAACTGCTTTGTGTGTTTAGTTTTTTGTCCGCCCCCCCCCGCACCTCTGATTAAAACGGTTGGCTATGTAGTGAGAAATACGTTTAACATACATACTTGATGGCGGTGATGATGTTGATGGTGGTGATGGTGGCGGTGATGGTGGCGGTGATGGTGGCGGTGATGGTGGCGATGATGTTGATGGTGGCGGTGATGATGGTGTTGATGATGATGTTGATGGTGGCGATGATGATGTTGATGGTGGCGATGATGATGTTGATGGTGGCGGTGATGATGGTGTTGATGATGGTGATGGTGGCGGTGATGATGGTGTTGATGATGGTGATGGTGGCGATGATGGTGTTGATGGTGGCGATGATGTTGATGGTGGCGGTGATGATGGTGTTGGTGATGGTGGCGATGGTGTTGATGGCGGCGATGATGATGGCAGCGATGATGGTGGCGGCGATGTTGATGGTGGCGATGATGGTGTTGATGGTGGCGATGATGGTGTTGATGGTGGCGATGATGGTGATGATGGTGGCGATGATGGTGGCGGTGATGATGTTGTTGATGATGTTGTTGATGGTGGCGATGATAATGTTGATGGTGATAATGATGATGTTGATGATGGCGGCGATGATGTTGATGATGTACCTTGCCTTGAGTGGCCGCCTGACGCTTGGGACAGGGTTGTGTGTGTATTAAACTACTTTCGCACCGCTCGTAGCCAACCATGCTCATCGGCTTCAGGAGAAGTCCAGTCCAAGTGGGGGCAGTCTTCACGTCTTCCGATGGAGTAAGGGTCTCGACACTTTTAGCCTGGACCGGTCCGTTTCAAAAGCATCGGGCCGTCTCTCGACCCGTCGTTTCAGCCACCAAGACCAACTTTATCTCCGATTTAGCGCGGTGCGAAAGAAATTCAACACCGAGGTGGTTGATGAGCGCCGCAGGTGATTGCGTCAGGGGGTAGCCGAGTGGTGCATTGCTGCAATTCCTCCTTTCGGAAGTGAATCGGTCATCTTGTCGTTCCACGGGTTCCGTTGTTTTCCAGCCGTGTATCGGGGTATCCGCATCGGGTCACACGGTACAGACAAAAACAGCACAATGTTGATGTAACGAAACATTTTTGTTGAATGAGTACAAATGAAATTATTTCTTTAAGCATGTTTCCCGATTTTTTCTTTTATTCACACACTAAACACGGTTTGGGTTACGTTCACGCGATCAAACACCCGTTACTATGTACAGCGCCTCGCAGGGTGCGTTTTGACGGGGTGACCAATAGTCTAAATTGGTCCGTAATAACGTAGGGAGGGGCTGATAAGGGGTTGACAGGTATGAGTGTTTTTGTGGAATGAGGAGTGGTGGGATGAGTGGTTGCGTGAGACTGATGAGGTGAGCGTCTTTGTGGGAGGAGTGGTGGGATGAGTGGTTGCGTGAGAGTGATGAGGTGAGCGTCTTTGTGGGAGGAGTGGTGGGATGAGTGGTTGCGCGAGACTGATGAGGTGAGCGTCTTTGTGGGAGTGGTGGGATGAGTGGTTGCGTGAGTGATGAGGTGAGCGTCTTTGTGGAATGAGGAGTGGTGGGATGAGTGGTTGCGTGAGTGATGAGGTGAGCGTCTTTGTGGAATGAGGAGTGGTGGGATGAGTGGTTGCGTGAGACTGATGAGGTGAGCGTCTTTGTGGGAGGAGTGGTGGGATGAGTGGTTGCGTGAGAGTGATGAGGTGAGCGTCTTTGTGGGAGGAGTGGTGGGATGAGTGGTTGCACGAGACTGATGAGGTGAGCGTCTTTGTGGGAGTGGTGGGATGAGTGGTTGCGTGAGTGATGAGGTGAGCGTCTTTGTGGAATGAGGAGTGGTGGGATGAGTGGTTGCGTGAGTGATGAGGTGAGCGTCTTTGTGGAATGAGGAGTGGTGGGATGAGTGGTTGCGTGAGACTGATGAGGTGAGCGTCTTTGTGGGAGGAGTGGTGGGATGAGTGGTTGCGTGAGAGTGATGAGGTGAGCGTCTTTGTGGGAGGAGTGGTGGGATGAGTGGTTGCGTGAGACTGATGAGGTGAGCGTCTTTGTGGGAGGAGTGGTGGGATGAGTGGTTGCGTGAGACTGATGAGGTGAGCGTCTTTGTGGGAGGAGTGGTGGGATGAGTGGTTGCGTGAGACTGATGAGGTGAGCGTTTTTGTGGGAGGAGTGGTGGGATGAGTGGTTGAGTGAGACTGATGAGGTGAGCGTCTTTGTGGAATGAGGAGTGGTGGGATGAGTGGTTGCGTGAGAGTGATGAGGTGAGCGTCTTTGTGAGAGGAGTGGTGGGATGAGTGGTTGCGTGAGACTGATGAGGTGAGCGTCTTTGTGGAATGAGGAGTGGTGGGATGAGTGGTTGCGTGAGAGTGATGAGGTGAGCGTGTTTGTGGGAGGAGTGGTGGGATGAGTGGTTGCGTGAGAGTGAGGTGAGCGTCTTTGGGAGGAGTGGTGGGATGAGTGGTTGCGTGAGAGTGATGAGGTGAGCGTCTTTGTGGGAGGAGTGGTGGGATGAGTGGTTGCGTGAGTGTGATGAGGTGAGCATCTTTGTGGAATGAGGAGTGGTGGGATGAGTGGTTGCGCGAGAGTGATGAGGTGAGCGTCTTTGTGGGAGTGGTGGGATGAGTGGTTGCGCGAGAGTCATGAGGTGAGCGTCTTTGTGGGAGGAGTGGTGGGATGAGTGGTTGCGTGAGACTGAGGTGAGCGTCTTTGTGGGAGGAGTGGTGGGATGAGTGGTTGCGTGAGAGTCATGAGGTGAGCGTCTTTGTGGAATGAGGAGTGGTGGGATGAGTGGTTGCGCGAGACTGATGAGGTGAGCGTCTGTGGAATGAGGAGTGGTGGGATGAGTGGTTGCGTGAGAGTGATGAGGTCGGGGGGGGGGGGTGAGATGAGACAATCATCCCCTTTGGGGGTCGATAAAACGAGTACCGCTCTGCGGAAGTCGACAGCTGTTTGCGCTCTACGGATACCGAGGCTGACGCACGCCATGGGAATGTGGAATTTCCACCGCTGGCTTAAAGAGCCACCCCCATTGCTCTTTTGGTGCTGGGAGGAATGTGGAGTGCAATCACACACACACACACACGTCCAGCTGTTATCACTTTATACAAATAGAGACCTTTCACACTAACACACTACCCGCACATCCGATTAGAACTGTTGGCTACGTACGCAGCGAAACAAGTTCAGCATAAACAAGAGACCTTCATTTAAATAATAATAATAATAAGCAATGTATGCGACTTCATTTAAACCATCCAATCACAGGCGGTGCAGTGGACAGAGCCTACGACTCAATACCAGAGGTCGCAAACGGGTTTTGATTCCTTACCCGTACCCGGCCGCACCAGGGTCGCAAACGGCTACCCGTACCCGGCCGGGTATCGGGTACCTGATTGCGACATCTGGGATGAAGCCATGTTGCAGGCGCGGGTGGGTTGATTCTAGGAACTTGAATTGTGAGAAGAGACAAGACGTTGGGAAATGAGTGACAAACGGTGACTCACCAGTGACTCACGGCCTACCCGTACCTGTACCCGGCCGCACCAGGGTCGCAAACGGGTACCCGTACCCGGCCGGGTACGGGTTGCCGGGTATCGGGTAGGGTACGGGTATCGGGTACCCGGTTGCGACCTCTGCTCAACACCCGTCAAGTTGTGGGCTTTGTCGGGAGTGGGCAGGATTCTCCCACGTTATTCGCCACGAGGGATACGCTCGTGAACGGAAACATTTCACGGGACAGCGACATTGGCCCTACGGACATAGCACGTGCAGACGTGTGCTCAACATTCTTCCAAAGGTTCGAGAAGCTCTCTCCATCTTGCTTTCTCATCACTTTCTCTCCCATCACTTTCTTATCACGCCATCTCTCATCACTTTATCTCTCATCACTTTATCTCTCACCACTTTATCTCTCATCACTTTATCTCTCGTCACTTTATCTCTCACCACTTTATCTCTCGTCACTTTATCTCTCATCACTTTATCTCCCATCACTTTATCTCTCATCACTTTCTCTCTCATCACTCCATCTCTCATCACTTTCTCTCTCATCACTCCATCTCTCATCACTTTCTCTCTCATCACTTTCTCTCTCATCACTCCATCTCTCATCACTTTCTCTCTCATCACTCCATCTCTCATCACTTTATCTCTCATCACTGTATCTCTCATCACGTTATCTCTCATCACTTTATCTCTCACCACTTTATCTCTCATCACTTTATCTCTCGTCACTTTATCTCTCATCACTTCATCTCTCATCACTTTATCTCTCGTCACTTTATCTCTCACCACTTTATCTCTCATCACTCCATCTCTCATCACTTTATCTCTCATCACTTTATCTCTCATCACTTTATCTCTCACCACTTTATCTCTCTTCACTTTATCTCTCATCACTCCATCTCTCATCACTTTATCTCTCATCACTTTATCTCTCGTCACTTTATCTCTCTCGATGCAGTCGTCGCGTAGATTTCCAGATACGATTCGCAGAGAGCCAACATCGTGGACAGCCAAGTGCATGACTAACAAGGGAACGCCGTACGGGCAAGCCCCTCTCGCTCCACACCAGGTTCGGTTTGTCATGCAGCCAACCAACATCTACCCACAATTAGTCATGTTTGCATAGACCACAATACCTGCAGTCATAATGCAAACAAAAAACACAACTCTGATAATGTATGCACTGTCCTTGAAGTTGATTGGTCCACACCCGAGACAGCTTTCCTTAGAGCCTCGTCTCACATGGGTTGGACCAGATGACGCCAAAAGGCGCACAACTCAAAGACAATGCACCATCAGAGTATGAGAGCTCGGGGTAAGCATATACACCATTGGTACCTCATTTGCCAGTAAAAAAATATGACAATTGGGTTTTTACCCTTTTATCTGGCAACAAAACTGACACCTTTTTTACAACAAAGGTGTCAGATAAAAGGGTAAAAAACCAATAATGTTTTTTACTGGCAAATGAGGTAGCAATGGTGTAAATCGTGGACTTTACGAGGCGCCTTCAAATTGCACCCACACTGGGCTCCGCGGCCGGACGTGGGACACCGCCGTTGGCGTTGCCGTTTGCGCGCCCATCGGCAGGCAGCTGACGTCGCGCGGTGGCGTCGTGGCCACCGTGCTTTTGCGCGGGGAGAAGAAAAAAAAAAAAAAAAAAAAAAAAAGACCCTGCATCCACCGTGGTGGGAAGTCAGCAGTGGTTCGGTTTGCGTGGGTCGCCTCGTCCTGCCACAAGAACGTGGAATTTCCCACCGCTGGCTCGGGGGCTGTAAACAGGAGTCGAGTGCTGCGGTCCAAGCGCTCGTCGGAGCAGGGCGGAGACGCCAACGCCGAAGACGCGGGACGCGAGCGCGGCCTCGTGACGTTGTCACGGAGATAACCGCCATGCGTCAGCCGCAATGCGCCCGCTTCTCATCGGATCCCGCAAGCCGAGCGGGTGGGGGTTGCAAGCGGTTGCGAGCGGGGAGGGGGGGTGTTCATCTTCGGTAGAGGCGGCGGGTCGAGTCGGGGGCATTCCGTCGGACGGGGCGAGCGAGACCTCAGTGGACCAGGGACGAGCGGTGGCCCTGGTGGGTGGTGGGTGGCGGTGGTGGTGGTGGTGGCGGCGGTGGTGGCGACGGTGGTGGTGACGGCGGTGGTGGCGACGGTGGTGGTGGCGGTGACAGTGGTGGTGGCGACGGTGGTGACGGTGGTGGTGGCGACGGTGGTGACAGCGGCGGTGGTGGTGACGGTGGCGGCGGCGGTGGGTCGCGGTGGTGATGACGGTGGCGACGGTGGGTGGCGGTGGTGGCGACGGTGGTGATGACGGTGGGTCACTTCCTCTACGACTTGGGCGCCCGCATGAACGGGGTGAGGCAGAGCGGCGGAGTGGGCGGCGTGGGCGGCGCGGGCGGCTGCGGTGACGAGGACGCCGCGTGGGCCGCGTGCGCCGCGTTCGGCGCGTTGATGTCCGGCAGCCGGTGGTTGTCGTACTTGTTGCCGTTGCCGCCGGCGTTGTTGCCGTTGTGACGCGCGGCCCCGCCGCCGCCGTGCGTCTTCTTGCCGCCGTGCGCGACCAGCGGCAGGCGGCCGTGCCGCTCGGAGCGCCGCCGGTCGCCGTCCCGCTCCGCCAGGTAGGGGTGGCCCAGGAGGCCGTCGCAGGCCGCACGGTCGGCCGGGTCCATCTCCAGGCAGCCGCGCATGAAGGAGAGCGCCGCGGGCGACGCGCAAGGAAAGCGCGAATCCAGCGGCTCCTGGCGGCGCGAGACGCGCCGGAGGGGCAGGACGGAGAAAGCGTGAGAGGTGGAACACGACAGCTGCTGCCGTGCTTGCGTTAGGTGTTCACTACCTCGCCTGGTGTGCAGGAGGTCGGGGTTTGATCCTGACCCTGACGCCTGCTGCTGTATATTTGGAGTTTGCGTGTCTCTCTCTCATCATCATTACGGTGGCTAGGAGATATTAACTACCTCGCCTGGTATACAGGAGGTCGGGGGTTCACGTGAATTTTTTCTCCAGGTCCTCAAATTTTTCCCTCCACATTTAGAAACATGCGTTTAGACTATTTAGATTATTTTGGCTGCGATAAATGTCCAAATGATGGGCCACTTTGTTGAGCTATCATTTGTGGCCAGGTCGCTTTTGAACAATAAGTGAATACCTCAGTGGACTGGTAGGATGGGGATTGTTTAGTTTTACTTATATGTGTTTTGGTGATTTGTTTACCTTTATTGTACTTTTCACTCTCATTGTGTTTTTGTACTGTTTGTTGTTGTTAACGTTCTTACCGTGCCCCAACTGGACATCCGTGAAACATCAGATTCCTCCACGATAAATACAATATTCTCATTCTGAAGTGTAATGTCACTTTTTAGAAACAAGCCAGCGCTGAACTTTAACTACAAACTATTCGTTATTTGTGACACTACAACAGACCTAACCGTCTACCGCCTATGACCACATCGCCCACAATGGGTCTGGTCTCATCCGATCTTAATTCTGGGAGCCTTACTCGGTAGGGCCCCACTGAGCCGTGTGGCTCTTCTTCAGAAGCGACTTGGCTATCACAAAAGATATCAGCACAACGAAAGTGGCTTATCGTCGTGTGGACATGTACAGCAGCCGAATGCTCTCAACGCGTGACGGTGATTCTAGATGTGGATGGGAAAAACTGGAGGACACGGAGAAGAATCCACGCGACCACGGGGAGAGAGAGAGACTCCAAATAGAAAGCAGGGGTCGGGATCGAAGCCACGGCCTCCTGTACACCAGGCGAGGTAGTTACCATTTCGTAGCCACCGTGATGAGAGAGAGACACGGAAACTCCAAATATACAACAGCGGTCTGGGTCGGGATCGAACCCACGACCTCCTGTACACCAGGCGAGGTAGTTAACATCTCCGAGCCACCTTGATGATGATGAGAGAGACACGCAAACTCCAAATATAGAACAGGGGTCAGCGTCTGGATCGAACCCACAACCTCCTGTATACGAGGAGAGGTAGTTAACATCTCGAGGTGTCTCTGTGTCCACCCACCCGTGTCTCAGGCTCAGGGATGCTCAGCCCGCTGAAGAACTGGTTCGAGCTGAAGATCTGCTGGTGTCGTGGAATGAGGTCTCCTGAAGGACAACGTTTGATCACTCGGTCATTCACTCAGTCCGTCATTCTCAACCGACGACTGCACTAAAGCTCCCAGGCGAGGGGCGGGGGGGGGGGGGGACAATGACCCGCGACCTCCGCAAATTTCGCGGTCCCTATTAAAACGAGCTATCGGTAAAAAATAAATATGTAATATTAAATAATAATGAAAACGAGCGAATGGAGAATTTGTCAGCATCTCAAGAATCCAACGACGGCCGTGCAGTATCCGCGTAGCAACGATGAAAAATGTACGCGCGAGTGTGTGAGCGTGCTAGCGAGCGTGGCAGTGTGCGAGCGCGTGTGCTCGTGTGCTAGCGTGCGAGCTAGCGAGGGTGCTAGCGAGCGTGGCAGTGTGCGAGCGCGTGTGCTCGTGTGCTAGCGTGCTCGCGTGCGAGCTAGCGAGGGTGCTAGCGAGCGTGGCAGTGTGCGAGCGCGTGTGCTCGTGTGCTAGCGTGCTCGCGTGTGAGCTAGCGAGGGTGCTAGCGAGCGTGGCAGTGTGCGAGCGCATATGCTCGTGTGCTAGTGTGCTCGCGTGCGAGCTAGCGAGGGTGCTAGCGAGCGTGGCAGTGTGCGAGCGCGTGTGCTCGTGTGCTAGCGTGCTCGCGTGCGAGCTAGCGAGGGTGCTAGCGAGCGTGGCAGTGTGCGAGCGCGTGTGCTCGTGTGCTAGCGTGCTCGCGTGCGAGCTAGCGAGGGTGCTAGCGAGCGTGGCAGTGTGCGAGCGCGTGTGCTCGCGTGCTAGCGTGCTCGCGTGCGAGCTAGCGAGGGTGCTAGCGAGCGTGGCAGTGTGCGAGCGCATGTGCTCGTGTGCTCGCGTGCGAGCTAGCGAGGGTGCTAGCGAGCGTGGCAGTGTGCGAGCGCGTGTGCTCGTGTGCTAGCGTGCTCGCGTGCGAGCTAGCGAGCGTGCTAGCGAGCGTGCTAGCGTGCGTGCTAGCGTGCGTGCTAGCGAGCGTGGCAGTGTGTGAGCGCGTGTGCTAGCGTGCTAGCGTGCGTGCTAGTGAGCGTGGCAGTGTGTGAGCGCGTGTGCTAGCGTGCTAGCGTGCGTGCTAGCGAGCGTGGCAGTGTGTGAGCGCGTGTGCTAGCGTGCGTGCTAGCGAGCGTGGCAGTGTGTGAGCGCGTGCTAGCGTGCGTGCTAGCGAGCGTGGCAGTGTGTGAGCGCATGTGCTACCGTGTGAGCGAGCGAGCGAGCTAGCGAGCGTGGCAGTGTGCGAGCGCATGTGCTACCGTGTGAGCGAGCGAGCGAGCGTGCTCGCGAGCGTGTCAGTGTGCGAGCGCATGTGCTAGCGTGCGAGCGAGCGAGCGTGCTAGCGAGCGTGGCAGTGTGCGAGCGCATGTGCTACCGTGTGAGCGAGCGAGCGAGCGTGCTCGCGAGCGTGTCAGTGTGGGAGCGCATGTGCTAGCGTGCGAGCGAGCGAGCGAGCGTGCTAGCGAGCGTGGCAGTGTGTGAGCGCGTGCTAGCGTGCGTGCTAGCGAGCGTGTCAGTGTGCGAGCGCATGTGCTACCGTGTGAGCGAGCGAGCGAGCTAGCGAGCGTGGCAGTGTGCGAGCGCATGTGCTACCGTGTGAGCGAGCGAGCGAGCGTGCTCGCGAGCGTGTCAGTGTGCGAGCGCATGTGCTAGCGTGCGAGCGAGCGAGCGTGCTAGCGAGCGTGGCAGTGTGCGAGCGCATGTGCTACCATGTGAGCGAGCGAGCGAGCGTGCTCGCGAGCGTGTCAGTGTGGGAGCGCATGTGCTAGCGTGCGAGCGAGCGAGCGAGCGTGCTAGCGAGCGTGGCAGTGTGTGAGCGCGTGTGCTAGCGTGCTAGCGTGCGTGCTAGCGAGCGTGTCAGTGTGCGAGCGCATGTGCTACCGTGTGAGCGAGCTAGCGAGGGTGCTAGCGAGCGTGTCAGTGTGCGAGCGCATGTGCTAGCGTGCGAGCGAGCTAGCGAGGGTGCTAGCGAGCGTGTCAGTGTGCGAGCGCGTGTGCTAGCGTGCGAGCTAGTTAGCGAGCTAGCGAGGGTGCTAGCGAGCGTGTCAGTGTGCGAGCGCGTGTGCTAGCGTGCGAGCTAGTTAGCGAGCTAGCGAGGGTGCTAGCGAGCGTGTCAGTGTGCGAGCGCGTGTGCTAGCGTGCGAGCTAGCGAGCGAGCGTGCGTGTCCGACCCTGCGTCGTGCGGATGAGGTGCAGCTGATCGACGTCCGATCGGCCCGGCCACAGAGGCTCCCCGGCCAGGAGCTCGGCGAAGACGCAGCCCAGCGCCCACACGTCGACCGCCGGTCCGTACTGCGTGTCGCCCACCAGCAGCTCGGGGGCACGGTACCAGCGCGTCGCCACGTAGTCCGTGTACTCGTCACCCGGTCCCGCTACAACAAGCATATAGCATTAGCTTGTGGGGCGAGTGCCATTAGCGCGTAGCGCCTATGTACCGTGCGCATGTTGAACTTCTTTCGCGTCGTACGTGCTGATCAGAAGTGCAGGGAAAGGACAGCAGACGAAATACATGAAGCGGTTCTTCTACGGAAATGAGTTTCCGATCTAGATGATGATTTAAAATTGCCAACTAGCTCCAAGTGGCTTCCTAATGTCGGAAGGAAGAGGCGTTCCAGACGGCCGCAGAAGCGCATCTGAAAGCGCTGATGCGGTGACCACCGTCTTTGTTTGATGAATGTTGGCACGGCACACGATGGGGTTGGGTTGCGGCGATGTTTTACACATCGCACCAGGTACTCATCATTTGAGGTCGAGTCGACCTAGCGGAGGCCCAGGACCGGTTCAAATAATCGTCACTGGTGTTGGCCGTGAGCGCGAATCGAACTCGGGTCGCCGGGTTTGTCGTGCAGTGCGCTAACCGCTGCACCACCGCTCCCCACAGGGTGAGTGTGTGTGTGTGTGCGTGCGTGTGTGCGTGCGTGCGCGTGCGTGCGTGTGTGTGCATGCGTGCAGGAAACTCACTTAGCATGCGGGCAAAGCCAAAGTCACAGAGTTTGATGATTCCTTGCTTGGTCACCAGGATGTTCTCTGGCTTCACGTCACGGTGGATGCACTGCCACGGCAAATACGCACCGAACGTCAACACGGCGTGGCAACATGGCAACACGGCAACACGGCAACACGGCGTGGCAACACGTCAACACGGCGTGGCAACACGGCAACACGGCAACATGTCAACACGGCGTGGCAACACGTCAACACGGCGTGGCAACACGGCAACACGGCGTGGCAACACGGCAACACGGCAACATGTCAACACGGCGTGGCAACACGTCAACACGGCGTGGCAACACGGCAACACGGCGTGGCAACACGGCAACACGGCGTGGCAACACGGCAACACGGCGTGGCAACACGGCAACACGGCGTGCCAACACGGCAACACGGCGTGGCAACACGTCAACACGGCGTGGCAACACGGCAACACGGCGTGGCAACACGGCAACACGGCGTGGCAACACGGCAACACGGCGTGGCAACACGGCAACACGGCGTGGCAACACGGCAACACGGCGTGGCAACACGGCAACACGGCGTGGCAACACGGCAACACGGCGTGGCAACACGGCAACACGGCGTGGCAACACGGCAACACGGCGTGGCAACACGACAACACGGCGTGGCAACACGGCAACACGGCGTGGCAACACGGCAACACGGCGTGGCAACACGGCAACACGGCGTGGCAACACGGCAACACGGCGTGCCAACACGGCAACACGGCGCGCCAACACGGCAACACGGCGTGCCAACACGGCAACACGGCGCGCCAACACGGCGCGACAGCTACCCACGCCCGCCGCTCCACCACGCCGTCACCGTCACCGCAGATCACCACCGTTGCTGCCTTCACTGGCAAGCGGCGGCCGCTCGCTCCTGGAAAGTTCTCGCAGCAGGCGGCGACGTCGCTGCGACGTGCAGTCCCAAAGTCGCTTTTTACGTTTCATCGGCCGTTTTAAGCCGGAGAACAGGGGTGAGAATGGACTAATTACACGCGGAAGGGCGCCCCCCAGTTAGGAATCGAACCCGAGGCCGTCGTGCTGCGAGGCACGAGCGTGACCACTGCGCCACCCTGCCACCGTGATTGTCAAGAGCTGGAATTTAGTCAAATTATGCGAAACCGAAATTGTATCTCGTAGTTAGTTTTTTTTGTAGTCATTGCTGACCTGGATAAGAGATCAACTACCTATACTTCAGAGGCTGGTTCATGATGATCATGTGATGCTAATGCTGCTGATACTGCTGATGATGCTGCTGCTGATGATGCTGCTGCTGATGATGATGATCATAATAATGGTGAAGCCATTGTTGATTGGGGCGTCACGGTGGCTAGGAGATGTTAACGACCTCGCTTGGTGTGCAGGAGGTTGTGGGTTCGATCCCGACCCTGACGTCTGCTGTGTATTGGAGTCCTCCGGTTTCTCCCTCCACATTTAGACTCAACATGCGTTTAGAGTATTCGGCTGCGGTAAGTTTCCACGTAACGATAAGCCACTTCGTTGGGCTATCATTTGTGATTGCCAGGCCACTTCTAGGTAAAATACAAGTATTTTTAAAAGTAGTTTTACTGCTGATAAGGATGCTGATAATGCGGACTGCAGATGAAGAAGATACGGATGTTGCTGCGACTGCTGATGATGCTACAGCTGCTGTTAAGAATTATTTTGTCTCTACCGCTGATGCTACTACTACTGCTGCTGCAGATACAGCTTCTTATGCCCGATTATGCAAAAGCTGCTGATGATGAAGATGCAACTGCTGCCGATGCTGCTGAAGATGCTGCTATTGCTGCTGATGAAACCTGCTACTGATGCCACTACAATCGCCGACATCCCCTGCTGCTGCTGCTGATGCTGCTGCTGCTGCTGATGCTGCTGCTGCTGATGCTGCTGAAAGCTCTCACTGTGTGCCGGAGAGACGTACGTTGTGCTGGTGACAGAAGCCGACCGCCTGCAGAGTCTGGAACAAGATGTTCTTCACTTGGGGCTCGGGGACCCTGCAGGGAGACAAGGACATGGGGGTCTGTTAGAGCAGCGCTGGCCACAAGAGTGCGGTCATCGCAGCAGCAGCAGCGGCAGCGGCATCGGCAGCAGCGGAAGCAGCAGCAGCGGCAGCAGCAGCAGCGGCAGCAGCAGCAGCAGAAGCAGCAGCGGCGGCAGCAGCGGCAGCAGCAGCAGCGGCAGCGGCAGCGGCAGCAGCGGCGGCGGCAGCGGTGGCAGCAGCGGCAGCGGCAGCAGCGGCAGAGGCAGCAGCAGCGGCAGTAGCGGCAGCAGCGGCAGCAGCAGCGGCGGCAGCGGCGGCAGCGGCAGCAGCGGCAGCAGCGGCAGCGGCGGCAGCAGCGGCAGCGGCGGCAGAGGCGGCGGCGGCGGCGGCGGCGGCGGCGGCAGCGGCAGCGGCGGCGGCAGCGGCAGCGGCAGCGGCAGCGGCAGCGGCAGCGGCAGCAGCGGCAGCGGCGGCAGCGGCGGCAGCGGCGGCAGCGGCGGCAGCGGCGGCAGCGGCAGCAGCGGCAGCAGCGGCAGCAGCACCAGCAGTAGCAGCAGTAGCAGCAGCAGCGGCAGCAGCGGCAGCAGCAGCAGCAGCAGCACCAGCAGTAGCAGCAGTAGCAGCGGCGGCTTTTGGGTGGCCATCGAACAAAGACGGTCACTGCTGCATCGCGCGGCGCTTTCAGATGTGGCTTCTGTGGCCGTCTGGAAGGCTCTGCCGTCCGATATTAGGAAGTCACTGGAGCTATATGGCACTTTTAAACCATCATCTCGGCTGACGAACTCATTCCTTCAGAACTGCTTTTTGTGTTTGGTTTGTTATCCTTCCCGCGCACCTTCCGTTCGCACAGTTGGCTACGTACCGTGCAAAAGAAGTTCAACATACACACACACACCTTCATAGGTGCTCTCTAACAGCACTTGCCCCAAATGTCTGTTAAGACTATACGGGGGATCTTTGTCTTCGTGCGTGTGTGCGTATGCGTGTCGGGGAGCGGTGGCACGGCACTTGGCGTCAGAGGTCGCAAACGGGTTTTGATTCCTTACCCGTACCCGGCCGCACCAGGGTCGCAAACAGCTACCCGTACCCGTATCTGGCTGGGTACGGGTAGCCGGGTATTGGGTAGGGTACGGGTATCGGGTACCCGGTTGCGACCTCTGCTTGGCATGCTGCGCTACGAACCCGGCGACCCGAGTTCGATTCCCGCCCACGGCCAACACCGGCGACGATTACCTAAACCGATCCTGGACCTCCCCTAGGTTGACTCAACCTCAAATGAGCACCTGGTGCAGTGTGTAAACATCGTCACTGGGGAGACAAAGGCGGCCCGGCGTGGTGTTGGCCACCCACCCCCTCGTGTGCCGTGCCGGCCTTCATAGGTGCTACTCGCTAACAGCACTTGCCCCAGCAGTCTGTTGCAGGCTACACGGGGGATCTTTGTCTTTTGTATATATGTGTGTGTGTGTGTTCATGCGTGGTGCTGGACACCCACCCCCTCGTATGCCGTGCCGGCCTTCATAGGTGCTACTCGCTAACAGCACTTGCCCCAGCAGACTGTTGAGGCTACACGGGGGATCTTTGCCTTTGGTGTGTTTACCCGTGGGGGTGTTTGTCCAGCTCGTTGAGGACCGTGTGGTCGCAGTACTCGAACACGAGGTGGAGCCTTCTCTTCTTGCGGAAGACCTCAAGGAGATTCACCAGGTTTGGATGCTTGAGTTGCTGGAGGCGAGAGGGTGCAAAGCAACGTTCAAACACACGGCATCGTTGTCTGGAGACCCCGCCAGGGACAGGTCTCTCTGTCTGTGTCTGTCTGTCTGTGTGTGTCTGTCAGTGTCTGTCTGTCAGTGTCTGTCTGTCAGTGTCTGTCTGTCAGTGTCTGTCTGTCTGTCAGTGTATGTCTGTCAGTGTCTGTCTGTCTGTGTCTGTCTGTCAGTGTCTGTCTGTCAGTGTCTGTCTGTGTCTGTCTGTCTGTCAGTGTCTGTCTGTCAGTGTCTGTCTGTCAGTGTCTGTCTGTCAGTGTCTGTCTGTGTCTGTCTGTGTCTGTTTGTCAGTGTCTGTCTGTCAGAGTCTGTCAGTGTCTGTCTGTGTCTGTCTGTCAGTGTCTGTCTGTCAGTGTCTGTCTGTCAGTGTCTGTCAGTGTCTGTCTGTCAGTGTCTGTCTGTCAGTGTCTGTCTGTCAGTGTCTGTCAGTGTCTGTCTGTCAGTGTCTGTCTGTGTCTGTCTGTCTGTGTCTGTCTCTGTCTGTCAGTGTCTGTCAGTGTCTGTCTGTCAGTGTCTGTCTGTCAGTGTCTGTCTGTGTCTGTCTGTCAGTGTCTGTCTGTCAGTGTCTGTTTGTCAGTGTCTGTCTGTCAGAGTCTGTCTGTCTGTCTGTGTCTGTCTGTGTCTGTCAGTGTCTGTCTGTCAGTGTCTCTCTGTCTGTGTCTGTATGTCTGTGTCTGTCTGTGTCTGTCTGTCAGTGTCTCTCTGTCAGTGTCTCTCTGTCAGTGTCTCTCTGTCAGTGTCTGTCTGTCTGTCAGTGTCTGGTGACCCCCTTGTGCGTGCATTTGTGGAGCTCAATGCAGGCAACGCCTGTCACAGCACACGAACACATTCACACACGGGCTGGCTAATCCGATTCCATCAACAGCCGTTGCCAGGTGGCCCCCCTCCGCTCACCGCGCTGCGGTGTCTGCTGTGCGCGGTCTTAAATAACAAGAACAAAAAAACCCCAACACAACACAACCCCACGCTCAACCTGTTTGCGCTCGGGGCACGGAGCCCACGCACAGGATGAGACGGCGTCGTCCCGTGTCTCCAGTTGCAGACGAGAGACTCCAAACAAATGAAGAGGGGGGGGGCGAGGGGAGGGGAGGAGGTTCCTTGCTGCGTTGTGGGAACGACTCGCGCCCCCCCCGTTCCGCGGCATTCACGCAAACCTCGCGGTCAACGTCACACATTCATCGTAATCACGCTTCCATACTCTCGGCCAGAGGTCGCAACCGGGTACCCGATACCCGTACCCTACCCGATACCCGGCTACCCGTACCCAGCCGGGTACGGGTAGCCATTTGCGACCCTGGTGCGGCCGGGTACGGGTACGGGTAGGCCGTGAGTCACTGGTGAGTAACTGTTTGTCACTCATTTCCCAAAGTCTTGTCTCTTCTCACAATTCAAGTTCCTAGAATCAACCCAACCGCGCCTGCAACATGGCTTAATCCCAGAGGTCGCAATCGGGTACCCGATACCCGTACTTGGCCGGGTACGGGTACTCGTTTGCGACCCTGGTGTGGCCAGATACGGGTAAGGAATCAAAACCCGTTTGCGACCTCTGCCACCCGCCCTGCAACTTGCAGACGTCTCGGAGCGGCAAAGGGTGAATGAGCGTTAGCGCGTGGGGAGAAACCGGAGCACCCGGGGAAAACCAGCGCGTGCAAGGGGGAAACACTCTATCCCATACAGACGGGACAGGCGGAGTCCACAATTTTGCTGTACCGCATTCTCCTGGGCAGCCGGGTTAAGGGTAGAAAGTTTCTTTGCAACATACGTGTGCGACAGAGGTCGCAAATGGGTTTTGATTCCTTACCCGTACCCGGCCGGGTACGGGTACGGGTACCCGTTCCCTATCCGTACCCTACCCGAAATGGGTGACAAACGGTTACTCACCAGTGACTCACGGCCTACCCGTACCCGTACCCGTACCCGGCCGCACCAGGGTCGCAAACGGCTACCCGTACCCGTACCCGGCCGGGTACGGGTAGCCGGGTATCGGGTAGGATACGGGTATCGGGTACCCGGTTGCGACCTCTGGTGTGCGATCCGAGAACCCAATGCCTCCACGGTGCGCTGGATTACCGGCGTGCAAAGCCGTCACCATCACCACCGCCAGGCTCCGTGACTGCGTGACTCAGAGACCCTGCGGGTTCAAGCCCTGGGGTTGGGTGTCTTAGAGTGTCTCCAACTACTGCAGTCAGCAGCCAATGAGATTGGCTCTCTAACCCCCCCCCCCCACCCCCCTCTGCACACGCCTCTCCATTGTATGATATTGAAACAGGACCCGTATCACACCATACTAATTGTAAATCGGATAAGCAGCCATACAGCCAATGAGCCTGTGGTCAAAGGTCGACTGTTGTGTCAATATGACTGAGATATCACGAGGCTCAAAATGACACCTCATTCAGTGAAATTGATGGAGTGGTCTCGCAAGAGCTACCCGGACACACAGAGCACCAAAATTGAATTTGATGACAAATAAGCTTCACAAAAGATGATTCGTTTCCATGATCATTCTCTCGGGTGTTTGTCATTGCCCGGGTGGGGGGGGGGGGGGTCAATAAACACTCCGGTGTAATGGACAGGCAGCCCTGTTTGAGAGTGTTTGTCAAGCCCCGCACCAGGCCCTCTCTGTGTCTCTTCAAACACGGGCCTGCCACCTCTCCTCCACTGCCCAAAAAGAAAATCAATTCTCACATCGAGGGTTGCCGAGAGAACACGAGGCTGCAGATGGTCCGCATTTTCAGACGAGCGTCCGTGCTGCGTGCAAGGGAAGGTCAGAGCTGCGGGGATGCGTGGCGAGGTTGGCATCGCTCGCCATCGAGCGCAGATGCGGCAGCTCAATTCCCACCACAGGTTCACGTGGGAAAACGCTAAACTGAGACAATGCCAACTTTGTAAAACACAACGGTGAAGGTGCAGTGCTCTGACCGTTCGCTTGCATCATGGAGCTGAGACTCAATCCTGAGACCCGGTCTCCTGGAGCCGAGTCTCAAACAAAACTCCGACCCTGAGACCCGGTCTCCTAGAGTCTCAACCGAGACTCTGACCCTGAGACCCGGTCTCCTGGAGCCGAGTCTCTACCGAGACTCCGACCCTGAAACGCGGTCGCCAGGATTGAGTGTCTCCTCCCGTCTTCTGGACCTGCGCCGCCCACCTTGAGCATGCGAATCTCGCGCAGCGCGATCTTCTTGATGAGCGGGTCCTCCTCGGACTCGACGAACTTCTTGATGGCGACGACGTGGCCCGTGTCGCGCGCGCGGCACTTGAACACGACCCCGTAGGAGCCCTCGCCGATCTTCGCCAGCTTCTCGTACTTGTCCATGGTGCTCGGTGGCTTGATGCAGCGCGCTGGGGGGCTGTCCCGGTGCATGGCTCCCACGCTCTGGGGGGGAGGGAGAGAAGCGGGGGGGGGGGGGGGGGTTCAGTGTGACAACCACCGTGGCTAGGAGATGTTAACTACCTCGCCTGGTGTGCAGGAGGTCGTGGGTTCGATCCCGACCCTGACGCCTGCTGCTGTGTATTTGGAGTTTGCGTGTCTCTCTCTCTCTTCCCGTGGTCGCGTGTGTGTGTATGTGTGTGCGTATATGTGTGTATGTGTGTGTATGTATGTGTGTGTATGTGTGTGTGTGGGGAGCGGTGGTGTAGCGGTTAGCGCGCTGCGCTATGAATCTGGCGACCCGGGTTCGATTCCCGCTCACGGCTAACACACGGGGGATCTTTGTCTTTGTATGTGTGTGTATGCACGTGTGTGTATGTGTGTGTGTATGTGTGTATGTGCACGTGTGTGTGTATGAGGAGTTGGAGGCGCTGCTGCTGAGACTGGAGCGTGCCACTAAGAGGTGGGGCCTTACCATCAGCCCCACCAAAACCAAGCACCTGCCTGGGTATTTTGTACCATCGGACACTCCACCCCCACAACTCCCAATTGGTGATGGGGCAGTTGTGGAGAGAGTGGAGAGTTTCCCATACCTGGGCAGTGTGCTTATGACCGGCTCCAGTCTATCAGCAGAGGTCTCACTCCGAATCAGTCGAGCGGCAATATCTTTTCATCGGTTGCGTAACGCTGTGTGGAAGCTACCTGGTCTGTCGCTCCGCACGAAGCTTCAGGTCTTCTCGGCCACGGTCATTCCCTCCCTTCTCTACGCTTGCGAGACGTGGACCCCCCTGGTGGAGCATCTTCGCCGGTTGGAAACATTTAGGCTGGCCTGCCTACGATCCATCCTGGGTTTAACCAGGCTGGATTGTGTGAGGAGCTCACAAATCCTTGAAAGATCTGGGCAAAGTCCCATCAGTGAGCTCCTCCGGCAGGCAAGGCTGCGTTGGCTGGGTCATGTAGCCCGCATGCCCAGCCACCGCATGCCTAAACAGCTTTTGTTCGGCCGGATCGAGGGGGCTAGACGGGCGCGGCACGGGCTGGAGAAGAGATGGAGTGATGTGGTACAGGAGGACGTGGAGCTGAGTGGACTTGCCGATGACTGGTACCAGCGGTGTCAAGATCGGCCTCAGTGGAGGAGGCTCGTGAAGGACGCTACTGGGCAGTTGGAGGCAGTCGCCCTCCAACAACAACGGAGGGCGGAGGAGCGACGCTCACAACAACGAGCGGAGCGCCGGGTGGCTAAAGCACAGCAAGTTGGCACAGTAGGGGGCACAGGTGGTGCATCAGCCAGTCATCTCGGTCATCTCGGTCAGTCGACCAGTGGCACCTGGGTCTGCCCCGTGACCTCCTGCCAGCGGGCTTTCGACACTTCACGTGGCCTCAAGGTGCACTTGGCCTGGCACAAGCATCGTGGTGACGTCACCGCCACTTAGTGGCGAATGGCGGTTGTTGTTGTTGTATGTGTGTGTGTGTATGTGTGTGTGTATGTGTGTGTGGAGCACAGTGAGGAGCGGTGGTGTAGTGGTTAGCGTTACGCTGCGCTATGAACCCGGCAACCCGGGTTCGATTCCCCGCTCACGGCCAACACCGGTGACGATTATCTGAACCGGTCCTGGGCCTCCCCTAGGTCGACTCAGCCTCAAATGCGTACCTGGTGGGGTGTGTAAACCTTACCACTAGGGAGACAAAGGCGGTCGGGCGTGGTGCTGACCACCCACCCCCTCGTGTACCGTTCCGGCCTTCATAGGTGCTCGCTAACAGCACTTGCCCCTACAGTCTATTAAGGCTACACGGGGGATCTTTGTCTTTGTGTGAGAGCCCTTCCAACCCAGCAGTGGATGGAGCTTGCGGCTGACGACGATGCCAGCGATGATGATGATGATGATGGTGGTGGTGGTGAGAGCGACTGCAAAGTACAAATCAGTGTGGATGCTCTCTGCTTACCGGCCCCCCCTTCTTCAGTGTCGCTCCGACATCACGGGACGACAGCTGCCATCTTCACCGTGGCGGTGAACGCGGATGGCCGCAGCTCGCGTGGTGCCGGAGTTGTTGTTGGTGGTGGTGGTAGGGAGGAGGGAGGGGGGAGGGGCTTGACGGGTGACGTCATCACGCACGCCATATAAGGAGCGTGGGTACTGTGCTGACGTCATCACGCACGTTATGTAAGGCGAGTGGCCCTGCTTCGTACGTCATCACGCACGCCATGTAAGGAGCGTGGGTACTCGGATGACGTCATCACGCACGACATGTAAGGCGAGTGGGTACTCTGATGACGTCATCACGCACGCCATGTAAGGAGCGTGGGTACTCGGATGACGTCATCACGCACGTTATGTAAGGCGAGTGGCCCTTCTTTGTACGTCATCACGCACGCCATGTAAGGAGCGTGGATACTGTGATGACGTCATCACGCACGCCATGTAAGGAGCGTGGGTACTCTGATGACGTCATCACGCACGCCATGTAAGGAGCGTGGGTACTCTGATGACGTCATCACGCACGCCATGTAAGGAGCGTGGGTACTCTGATGACGTCATCACGCACGCCATGTAAAGAGCGTGGTTCTTTTGATGACGTCATCACGAATGCCATATAAAAGTTATTGTTTTGTGATGACGTCATCACGACAATCACGCTATTTATAAGGCGTGCGTGAAGACGTCATCGCGCACGCTTTCGTGTCCAGGTGACGTCATCACGTCGCATGCCAACCCGGCTGTTGTCTAAATGACGTCATCGCGCAACACTCCAACTTGATGCTGTATATAGATGACGTCATCACGTCACATGCCAAACCGGCTGTGTGTCTAAATGACGTCATCGCGCAACACTCCAACTTGATGCTGTATATAGGTGACGTCATCACGTCACATGCCAAACCGGCTGTGTCTAAATGACGTCATCGCGCAACACTCCAACTTGATGCTGTATATAGGTGACGTCATCACGTCACATGCCAAACCGGCTGTTGTGTCTAAATGACGTCATCGCGCAACACTCCAACTTGATGCTGTATATAGGTGACGTCATCACGTCACATGCCAAACCGGCTGTCTAAATGACGTCATCGCGCAACTCTCCAAATTGCTGTTGTATCTAGATGACGTCATCACGTCACATCTCAATTAACAAATTAAAAAAAACTTAAGTATTTGTCAATCATACTGTGCGGTGTCTTCAAATGGATATGTTCACGTTTACGGTGACTTACAGACCGCAGTCCACTCACTGGCATTGACTGTGTATCTTGTGTTCTCCACAGGGAATGCATTATTTGCTCCGCTGCGGGTCTCCTGCCACCGCTCTCCCATTCACATGTTTCATTGCTTCTACATGCTATTAACATGCCCTCCCTTTGTTAATGCTACCCCCTGCCCCTCCCTTTGGTGCTGCTGATCCTGCATAATGCATGGGCATAATATGACTTTGAAACCCCCCCGCCCACCTCCTACTCATTTCCCATGAATATGCTAAATTCCTCTTGATATGCACATTCTTTTGTTAAGGCGCTCTTCTTCCACCTCCAACCCAGCTTATATATAAGCTCCAAGCTTGGCAGTGTCTCATTCTTCACCTGAAGACGGCTGCTTGCATTGTAGCCGAAACGTCGTGAGAATTATTTTATTTTGTTAAGTTTTATTTTTATTATTTTATTACTTCCCTTCTACGTGATGACTTTACCGAAAGAACCAAGAAGATGAATACGTCTGTAATAGATGACGTTTCGGACGACTACTCATCAATTGCACAACATCCTCACATCGATGACGTAGGCTCACACGAAGTGGGCGTGGCTTTTGTCTCGATTGACCAATGGGCGCGCGGCTTACATCGTGGGGAGGCGGCGCGCGCTGAGGAGCCAATCAGACGCGAGCTCTCTTCGTGACCGCTGCAAGGTAAGCGTGTGTTGCGCGTCAACTTCAGGCGGATTTAACTTCCATTTCTTTATAATTGTTTACGAAATGTACGTTTAACTGTCGTTGTCCAGCGTCACACCCTTTACTCTATCGCCACGCATCGTTATATATAACTAATTTGGCGCCAATAAAAAAATTTGTCGGTCTCGTAGCTTTTGCCCCTGTCGGACATGGAGAGTTAGCCGTGGGCCTACGCTAGGCTCCCGGCTTGGCTGTTTAGGCAAGGGCGGGAGGAGGCTGCCCCGTACTATTGCAGATCGTTCATGCCTCGCGCTCTCACGATGACAGGAGCTACTCTCATGTTTCGATTTAAAGCTTCTTTCGTGACTGCAGGGATTCATCTTCTTGGTTCTTTCGGTAAAGTCACGTAGAAGGGAAGTAATAAAATCATAAAAATGTATTACTTCCCTTCTACGTGACTTTACCGAACGAACCAAGAAGACTACAGTACTCTCATGTATTCTGATTGTTATATATGTTTTTAAAGAGGTACCCATACCTGTCAACCCATACGGTTTACCCCATATTCGTGAGTTTTCATGTCCTTACAGCTTAATTGCCGTTTCAATGCGGGCAACAAATGTTAATTCTAGATTTGAAACTTTCGTGACTGACAAGGATTCATACGTAGGTAAAACAATGGTTTTAAAATTGTTTTATCTACGTGACTTTACCGAAAAAAACAAAGAACATAAATGTTGTTGTCTATTTGTGTTTCTCACCTTGTGATGGGACTCTGTAGGGTGATATTTATAAGGGCAGTGACCAACAAGGTCTGAATTATTCTTAGGTTTTTTCGGTAAAGTCACGTAGGTAAAAAATTAAAATTAATGAAAGTAAAATACAATAAAAATCAGGTATAAATGAAATAGCAATTTTATGATTGAAAAAGCAATTTCATTTATACCTGATGATGATTGCTTGTGTTGCAATCGAAACGTGATTTTTATTTTTATTTTATTTTTTATAATTTTAATTTTTTACCTCCGTGACTTTATCGAAAAAACCTAATAATAGGAATCCTTGCAGTCACGAAAGCTTCAAATCTAGAAAAGGTCTGAATTGTTCTGTAGTAAGCTAGGCACTGCTAATGGGTTGACAGGGTTGTATTACGATCATGTACATTTAGTTTTGGTCTGTAGTGAGATGGGCAATGATAAGGGTTGACAGGTATGGGTACCATAGAAGTTGCCTTCACCACTCGCTCCCCCGTCAGTTTTCAGTTTTTATTTATTTGGAATAACCCTATGAGCCATTCGGCTCTTGATTCGGGTGAAACCGCAACAAACAATACAATTACAAGATACATTTTTAAATTTTACTATACGCAAATTGAAACATCCCCTACAAAAACAATAAAATCTTCCAGAAAAAGCACCAGTTGTTTATGCTGCGTACAAAAATGTGTGCAAAAAAAATCCCATTTTGATGTTAGCTCACAATAACAATCATAATACAATATGGATTACAATTTTAAGTATAACTCTATACTACATCAAAAAAATCGGGCTAAACTAACCCTTTCTAGAAATTACTAAAATAATGCTGTAAAAACAATGCAACTGATCATAAGAAATGTGATTGAAAGTTTACAATAGCGACATACACAACATATATTCTTCTTGGTTCTTCCGGTAAAGTCACGTAGAAGGGAAGTAATAAAATAATAAAAATAAAACAATAAAATAATTCTCACGACGTTTCGGCCACAACGCAAGCAGCCGTCCTCAGGTGAAGAACGAAACACCACCAAGCTGAGGACGGCTGCTTGCGTTGTGGCCGAAACGTCGTGAGAATTATTTTATTATGCTTTATTTTTATTATTTTATTACTTCCCTTCTACGTGACTTTACCGAAAGAACCAAGAAGATGAATCCCTGCAGTCACGAAAGCTTTAAATCAAAATATTCCCATATTTTTTTTATATTATTATATTATTTTATTATGTTTTATTTTTATTATTTTATTACTTCCCTTCTACGTGACTTTACCGAAAGAACCAAGAAGATGAATCCCTGCAGTCACGAAAGCTTTAAATCGAAAAAAATATAAGCTAGCATCCTTAGCTAGCTGCATCAGTTTAATCCGAACGCCAAAGTTTCGCCACAACGCCACGCGCTGTCACTCATCGGTCTCACGCCACGTGCTTTCCACTCCACTAACTCATAGCCGGTCAACCCCTTATCAGTGTCCGACCTTATCACAGGCCAATTCAGATCTTATTGGTCACCCCGTGCCGCTTATGAATCTCAACGTTCTTCCTACAAAGTCCCACCACAAGGGAGAAACACAAACATACATTTTCCGATTTAAAGCTTTCGTCACTGCAGGGATTCATCTTCTTGGTTCTTTCGGTAAAGTCACGTAGAAGGGAAATAATAAAATAATAAAATACAACATAATAAAATAATTCTCACGATGTTTCGGCCACAACGCAAGCAGCCGTCCTCAGGTGAAGAACAGGTCTGTCTCATTCAGACGCTGTCTTTCCGACAGACCTGTTCTTCACCTGAGGACGGCTGCTTGCGTTGTGGCCGAAACGTCGTGAGAATTGCATTTTATAATGTTTTATTTTTATTATTTAAGTATTTCCCTTCTACGTGACTTTACCGAAAGAACTAAGAAGACAGGCATTTTTTTGTTGCCCGCATTGAGAAACGGCTGTACGTCGCATGGATCTGAAAAGTCAATTCCTCTGTACAAGAATACTGGGTAAACCGAATCGATTGGCAGGGAATGCAAACGAAGCATCGACACGCTCAGCTCGAGACATTGATCCGCCCGTGTGATTCGACACATAAGGCAAGGGTTGGTGAATGACGCAAAGATTTCTGATACGCTCAAATCCACTGTTCTTCGAGGTTAAACTTTGTTTTATTGTACCAGGTATGAAGGCCCATTGAGCTGCTATGTATCGTTTTTTTCAGAATCACAAATGGTATCTCAACGACGTGGCTTATCACTTGGATAATGTAAAGCAATAACGCTGGTATTGTTATTGCATTTCAGTGCACGGTTTCCCTTGCCGACCACAAGACGTTTCCTTAAAGTCACAGTGAGTAGGCATTTTTTTGTTGTTGTTTAACACTGACGTTATTTGACGCCGTGGTGCAAGTAATTGTCATAACATTTTAAACATTGCCCGTCATCAGTGGTGTTAATTGTCTTAACTGTTCATAGTTCGCACGTGTGTGTGTGTGTGTTTGTTTCACCGGGGCCCGTGTGTTTTTATTTTGTCACGCACACTGGATTTGCGGGGGTTTTAATTGGCACCGGCGCCGTCTGGTGGAGTGGTTGCGTATTGCAGATTTATAAAAATAAAATAAAACACAAAAATGTTTCTCACGACGTTTCGATCGCTAGATTATATTAGGCAGTTCCACTGCTGGATTATATTTTTTCCTGCCTGAGGACGACCGCTTGTGTTGCGATCGAAACGTCGTGATAAATAATTTTTTTGATTTTAAGCTTCTTTCGTGACTGCAGGGATTCATATTCTTGGTTCTTTCGGTAAAGTCACGTAGAAGGGAAACAATAAAATAATAAAAATATTTTAAATTTTTATTTTATTGTTTCCTTTCTACGTGACTTTACCGAAAGAACCAAGAATATATTATTTTTTGCTTTATTTTATATTTCTACCTCCGTGACTTTACCGAAAGAACCAAAGAGTATGGATTCCTGCAGTCACGAAAGCTTCAAATCAAGATATTGCAGTTGTGTAACAAGCCGCAATCGTCAGAATAACCGTTTCATAACAAAAAGTAGTTCCCGCAGATTTTTTTTTTTTTATCCAGGATTTAATGTTAAGATTAAGGGTTAGGGATTGAGGATAAGAGTTTGGGGTTTAGGAATATGCTTATGGGTTCAGGGATAAAGTGACGGGTAAAGTTTAGGATTATATTTAGAGTTTACGATTCGCGTTCGGGGTGGAGGTTAAGTGGTTAGTAAGATTCATATTGCATGGGAGTTGATCGGCAGTTTTTACATGTTCGCATCGAGTTTCTATGTACGCACGTATGTTGAATTTTTTTCACACCGTATCTAGCCAACTGTGCTAATCTTAGGTGTGGGGCAAGGACGACCAACTAAACACAAAGAGCAGTTATCTAAAGAAATTAGTTTTCAAACTAGATTAGTTAAAAGTGGAGAGCTTCAGTGGCTTCCTAATGTAGTGCCATAAGAGGGGAGGGGCTGCTGGGGGCTCTGGGACCCTAGACAGATAAGCCCTTGGCGCCAGGCGCTAGGATCCCAGGCACCCCAGACAGTTAAGCCCCTTGGCTCCACCAACGGGGGGGCTGTGTGTGCTCTGTGGGATATCTGGGGGCGCACACAACCCCACCCCTCGTTGGGGACGAGGCATAAAAGGGCAGCTCCCTGGCCGATCGGGGCCAGTTGCAGCTCAAGACCCAAGACCCGCCAGCCAGCCAGCTTAGGACCCTGGACCCCCTGGTCCCGCTTGTCCTTGTAAGGGCCGGGACGCTGTGAGGGCCAGTGGTGGGACTCTGGGACTCCCGGCTCTACGTCCTTGTAAGGGCGAGTTCCGAGGAAGCCAGAGTCCAGACCCGCACCTTGGCTCGGTCGGGTCAGGTAGCCTCCCCTAGGGTAATTGTAGCCAGAGGACCCCAGAGCATAGCCAGAGTAGTGTATCTAGGCTGTGTACCTAGGCTGTGTACCTAGGCTGTGTACCTAGGCTGTAACAGAGTATCAGGACTGTTGGAGTGTTGCATTGTAATAAAGAAGTTACCTCTACAAGTGTCTCCGGAACCCATTACATTAGTATCAGAAGGAATAACGAACCAGACGGCCACAGAGTTTTGTGAGAGAGTCAGTGGACTGCTACAGGGACAGCCTGGCGAACATCTGAAACGCTGTCAGTGGCGAATGATCGAAGTGGGCAGTGCAGGGGGCGTTGTGCTGCTGTCATTCACACGTGGCGATGCATTTGTTTTTGTTGCGCAGAGATCATGACGGGCGGTGGCAAGAAGTTGGTGGACGTGGGTTACCGCGTCTTCTCGGGTTCCATGATGTTGCTCACCGTGTACGGCGGGTACCTGTGCAGCGTGCGCGTCTACCGTTACCTGCAGCGCCGCTCGCACCTGCGCGCCGAGGTTGAGCGGCTGGCGCTGGAGGATCTGAAGGAGTGAAGATGGTGGCGGGCACCCTGACGGGGGTGGGTGGGCAGAGTTCGTGACCTTTCCTGGGCGCCGAGAACGAGGCCGCCCCCTAATGTGACGCTCGCCCTTCCCTGCTGAATGTCTCCACTCGGCTCCCTTCGCCTGCGACCGGGTTTCCCCAAAGGCATTCTGAGAAGAATGTCTTAACCAAGATTCAAGTTCTCCCAGATGGACACATCATCGTTGTCATTGTCAACATCATCATACACCTCTCAGATGTGTTTTGAGATTGTGCCGCACTAAAACGTCGGGCATCACGCGAAACAACATGCGCTACAACCCAAACATATCGGAGAGCTGTACAACACAATCACGAAAACCTACACGGTTGTATTATTGTCTTCGATATAATAATAATATATTGACAATTACTTAACCAGAAAATTCTCCACGAGTCCTGCTTGCTTGGGATATTTGGCGAATGGCTTCTTTTGAGTAGTCTTGCTTTGTTTGTGAGTGTACCAGAGTGGGATGCTGCCAAGGTGTAAGGGGACTTACAATCTACAGTTCGCCGGTTCGATTCAATCCCACGGCGCGGCAGTTGAAACAATGGCGCCGGTTTCTTAAATTAGCCACCTCTTCTTTGTTCTTTCGGTAAAGTCACGTAGAAGGGAAATAATAAAATAATAAAAATTAAACATAATTAAATACAATTCTCACGACGTTTCGGCCACAACGCAAGCAGCCGTCCTCAGGTGAAGAACAACAGGTCTGTCGGAAAGACAGCGTCTGAATGAACACGACCAAGCTTGGCAGCGTATATATTTAAGCTGGGTTACGTGACTTTACCGAAAGAACCAAGAAGATGAATCCCTGCAGTCACGAAAGCTTTAAATCGAAATTTACCCACCTCTGTCCATCAAGCAGCATAAATGGGTAAACCACAGTTGATCGGCAGGTTGCATGCGGTGAAAAAAATATGGCTATCCCCTACCCAGGGCCACCACGGTGGCGAGATGTTAACTACCTCGCTAGGTATACAGGAGGTCGTGGGTTCGATCTTGACCCTGACGCCTGCTGTGTATTTGGAGTGTGCACGTTCTATCTCCCCGTGGTTGTTTGGATTTTTCTCCAGGTCCTCCGGTTTTCCCCTCCACGTTTAGAATCAACGTGCTTTTAGAGTAATTGGCTCCTATAAATTTCCACGTGATACGCCACTTCGTTGAGCTATGATTTGTGATGACCAGGTCGCTTCTAAAAAAATAGCTGTATAGCTCAGTGGGGCCTTACCTGGTAAAATAAAAAAAAACTTTTATGCTTCCAAGACATCTGACCAGTGTGGAAGAATAGGACAAATATCCTCAAGAGTTGTGCAAAGTCACGCTGAAATTCTGCTTCACAGAAGGCCTGTCAGAAACCTGCTGGACATGCTGCCATTGTAGCTTCACAGCTTATCAAGTACACGTCGTGCCCTTTATAAATCCACCGCTGGATGTGGCCTCTGCATGCCTTACGGATTGTGAGGTCATTTACCCATACTTTACCACGCTGGTCTTGTGGAAATGTGGGGAGCAAAAATGTACAAAATAACCGTGAATTTTACTGCACTGCCTGCCACATGGTCCTGCAGCCGACTGTGGCAACCTGGTGTGCATATTAGTTACTCATCTGAGCACTATCCATGCCCGGTTGTGCTTAGCTTCCAAGATATTTGTTGGAAGAGCGAATGCCGATAGGATCTCTCGTGGCGACGCTAGGGATCTGTGGTTAAAAATATTTGCGGAAAGCCAGGGTTTCGTATTAATGTATCAAGTGTGATTGATACACAATCACCACACGACCATCCAGAACTGAACTCTGGACGAAAATTATTCCTTTCTCATCTCCTGAACTGTGTACTGTAAGTATACGTTCTCTGTCATTGGTTTTGCTAATAAACATAACTTAATGGGAGATATTCTTTCTGATTTTATTTCTTTACGATGTTATTCTCAATATTGGTTGCATTTATGCGTATCTTATGATGGTCCGTTGACTTGTACCATATGGCCACTAATAAATCCTTTTACTGGTAGGAACCTCCTGGATACACCAGCCCACAGGGGATTATTGTGTCCGTCCATCGTGCATCCAAAAATAGGAGGGGTGGGGCTGGGTGGAGAAGGGAGGGTGGGGAGGGAGGGTGGGGTGGGGCTGGGTTGGGAGGGTGGGGCTGGGAGGGGTGGGGCTGGGTTGGGAGGGGCTGGTCACCCCGTGGTGCCCTTATAAAACTCAACGTTTAACCTACTCACGCCGGCTTGTGCCCGCCCTCACAGTCGGCCATATTTGCGGAATACACCACGCCGCCGTTGACCCTGCAGGCCATTGACCGAGCAACCCAACGTTCCTACCAGCTCCCTCCGCAGGAATGTGTTTGTGCCACCTGCCTTATCAAATTGCTTACACTACTGGTAACCTTTAAGATAGTTTTGGGAATGCATGGTCCATGAATTCATATGGCCCATAGCCACGTGTGCAGCCTACCACTCTCAAAGGACCCACTATCTCAACATGTTATTTTACCAGGTAAGGCCCACTGAGCCATATAGGTCTTTTCAGAAGCGTCCTGACCAGCGCAACAAAGTGGCTTATCACGTCAGAATTTATAGCAGCCAAATACGTTGAACGCATGTTTCTAAATGCGGAGGAAAACCCGGAGGACCTGGAGAAAAATCCACGTGACCACGGGGGAAGAGAGAGAGAGAGAGAGAGATAAAAAGTCGACCCCAAATATACAGACGTTGGGGTCGGGATCAAACCCACGACCTCCAGGCGAGGTAGTTAACATCGCCACCGGATCGTCCCAATCTATCCACTCCTGCGAGCATCCTGGCAGCAACGCTAATTTTAGCGCCCTTGTCGCCTCGTCTTTTTGAAATCCTTTATATTAAGTTCGCTTGCTTGCTTGCTTGCGTGCTTGCTTGCTTACGAACGTGCAAATCTTTCGGTCGTTTTTTAACCCACTTCCCGTGATCCAATCGAGCTGACATTTTCCACACAGACTCGTTGTGCGTGACAATTAATGTTAGTGAAAATTTTTTTCCAAAATTTTACACTTTTTAGGACTAAAATATTATATTTAATTACCAATTGCTTAATGGTGCATTGCAATCATCTGACCCATAGGTGGCAGCCATCTCAAGCCAACGGACGAGAGGACTCTAGCCGCCACGCATATAAAGGATTTATAGGGAAAAACTTTGTTTTTACGGGTTTACTTGTAAGTAGTTGTGAATGCACGGTATAAGCATGCAGTCGAAGCGCAGTCAGAATTAGTTGTCAACGAATGTGTGAAATTTCGATGTAAAGCTTTCGTGACTGCAGGGATTCATCTTCTTGGTTCTTTCGGTAAAGCCACGTAGAAGGAAAATAATAAAATAATAAAACATAATAAAATAATTCTCACGACGTTTCGGCCACAACGCAAGCAGCCGTCTTCAGGTGGAGAACAGGTCTGTCAAGTAGACAGAGTCTAGACCAGGGGTCGGCAACCTACGGCTCCGGAGCCGCATGCGGCTCTTTACGGGCTGCTTCTTGACGATGAGTACGATGTACTCAGATGCATTGCGGCTCTTGAAATACTGAATTTTGTACCGAATTGGAAAGAAATGGCTCTTCTTGTTATTTTGGTTGCCGACCCCTGGTCTAGACAGAGTCTACTTGACAGACCTGTTCTCCACCTGAAGACGGCTGCTTGCGTTGTGGGCGAAACGTCGTGAGAATTATTTTATTATGTTTTATTTTTATTATTTTATTATTTCCCTTCTACGTTACTTTTCCGAAAGAACCAAGAAAACGAATGTGTGACCTCACCAAAAGTATTTGAAAGTCCTGGGTGTACAGAGGACATCGCAAGAGACGCTGCATCTCAATGCACTCCAATCGGGTTAAATATACAGGCCATTGCTCTCAAGGCCAATTCATTTGGCTCTCGCTCGCCTTAGTTAAATACAAGATGTAAAAGCGAACCCCAAAGTGCTCTCGCGTGATTAAAATTGAGGGGCGTCAAAATAAAGGGGCGACATTGACACGTGTGAATAATGAATGTTAAACAGAGCTCACACTGATTAAATAAAGGACATCAACATGAGAGGGCGAATATTACCCAATGTAGATGTGTATCTATAGAGAGTGCGTTCATCCAAGGCGTTTCGCAACAATTATGGGATGATAGCGGTTGCGATAAAGAGCGGGGTTATTGGTCAAAGTTGGGGTGTAGTTATGGTGACAGGAGTACAGGCGGGAGAGTTTAAGGAGGGGTTGTGGGTAGGGTGAGCGTTAGTGAAAGGGGTAGTGAGAGTGGTAGGAAAGGGGTAGGGGTGGTGATAAGGGTTGTGAAAGGGGTAGGGGTATTGGTAGGGGTGGTGATAGGGGTAGTGAGAGGGGTAGGAAAGGGGTAGGGGTGGTGATAAGGGTTGTGAAAGGGGTAGGGGTATTAGTAAGGGTGGTGATAGGGGTAGTGAGAGGGGTAGGGAAGGGGTAGGGGTGGTGATAAGGGTTGTGAAAGGGGTAGGGGTATTGGTAGGGGTGGTGATAGGGGTAGTGAGAGGGGTAGGGAAGGGGTAGGGGTGGTGATAAGGGTTGTGAAAGCGGTAGGGGTATTGGTAAGGGTGGTGATAGGGGTAGTGAGAGGGGTAGGAAAGGGGTAGGGGTGGTGATAAGGGTTGTGAAAGGGGTAGGGGTATTGGTAGGGGTGGTGATAGGGGTAGTGAGAGGGGTAGGAAAGGGGTAGGGGTGGTGATAAGGGTTGTGAAAGGGGTAGGGGTATTGGTAAGGGGTGGTGATAGGGGTAGTGAGAGGGGTAGGAAAGGGGTAGGGGTGGTGATAAGGGTTGTGAAAGGGGTAGGGGTATTGGTAGGGGTGGTGATAGGGGTAGTGAGAGGGGTAGGAAAGGGGTAGGGGTGGTGATAAGGGTTGTGAAAGGGGTAGGGGTATTGGTAGGGGTGGTGATAGGGGTAGTGAGAGGGGTAGGGAAGGGGTAGGGCTGGTGATAAGGGTAGTGATAGGGGTAGTGATAGGGGTAGTGATAGGGGTAGAGAAGGGTAGGGGTGGTGATAGGGGTAGTGGAAGGGGTATTGGTAGTGATAGGGGTAGTGATAGGGGTAGAGAAGGGGTAGTGATAGGGGTAGTGATAGGGGTAGAGAAGGGGTAGTGATAGGGGTAGTGATAGGGGTAGGAAAGGGGGGTATGGGTGGTGATAGGGGTAGTGATAGGGGTAGAGAAGGGGTAGAGAAGGGGTAGTGATAGGGGTAGTGGAAGAGGTAGTGGAAGGGGTATGGGTGGTGATAGGGGTAGTGATAGGGGTAGTGATAGGGGTGGTGATAGGGGTAGAGAAGGGGTAGTGATAGGGGTAGTGATAGGGGTAGGAAAGGGGGGTATGGGTGGTGATAGGGGTAGTGATAGGGGTAGTGATAGGGGTAGTGATAGGGGTGGTGATAGGGGTAGAGAAGGGGTAGTGATAGGGGTAGTGATAGGGGTAGTGATAGGGGTAGTGATAGGGGTAGTGATAGGGGTAGTGAAGGGGGTAGTGATAGGGGTAGTGATAGGGGTAGTGATAGGGGTAGTGATAGGGGTAGTGATAGGGGTAGAGAAGGGGTAGTGATAGGGGTAGTGATGGGGTAGTGATAGGGGTAGTGATAGGGGTAGAGAAGGGGTAGTGATAGGGGTAGTGATAGGGGTAGAGAAGGGGTAGTGATAGGGGTAGAGAAGGGGTAGTGATAGAGGTAGTGATAGGGGTAGGAAAGGGGGGTATGGGTGGTGATAGGGGTAGTGATAAGGGTAGTGATAGGGGTAGTGATAGGGGTAGGAAAGGGGGGTATGGGTGGTGATAGGGGTAGTGATAGGGGTAGTGATAGGGGTAGTGATAGGGGTAGAGAAGGGGTATATATAAAGTGGCCCATGACTCCACTATAGTCAGCACACCCGTGTGATGAACTACGTATTCATAATTCGTTCCTGAACTAGTCACGAATCATGGATAATATTGTTCGCGAAAGCCTACGTGTTAAATTGACGCATTTATATTTTACCCCAAAAAAATCACCTAATGATGTGGATAACATCATTAGGTGATTTTCCAGAATTGTGAAGCAGTGGGTTTTACTGCTGAAGTAAGTAACTGATCTGCACGTTTTGTTGACGTGACAAACCTTGACCAATTTGGCTGTGTCGGGTGGTGGCGGGTTAACGACACACTTATATTTACACGATCTAACCCAAAACAACTAGTAACGAATTATGGACAACATTGATCGAGAAAGCCTCCGTGTTAAACTGACAACATTTATACGTATCCCCCCAAAAAACCCTTTACAATTTCGATTTAAAGCTTTCGTGACTGCAGGGATTCATCTTCTTGGTTCTTTCGGTAAAGTCACGTAGAATGAATTTAATAAAATAATACAAAATAAAATATAATAAAATAATTCTCACGACGTTTCGGCCACAACGCAAGCAGCCATCCTCAGGTGAAAACCAGGTCTGTCGGGGAGACAGCGTCTGTGTGCTGTTTCATTCAGACGCTGTCTCCCCGGCAGACCTGGTTTTCACCTGAGGACGGCTGCTTGCGTTGTGGCCGAAACGTCGTGAGAATTATTTTATTATGTTTTATTTTTATTATGTTTTATTTTTATTATTTTATTACTTCCCTTCTACGTGTCTTTACCGAAATAACCAAGAAGATGAACCCTTTACAATGTTACGGAAGTAAACAAGAGGACTTCTCCACAAATCTGGCTGTAGCCTGATGAAGCTAGTTGTGATTACCGGCGAAACGTCACGGCACTCAGATTGTAAATGTTGTGGATTGGCTCTCCAACACACCGGTGTGCTGTACTAGTAACGAATTGGCCACGTTCTGTTTATGTGATAAACCTTACTAATTAGCTGTGTCGGGTGGTTCAAGTTCAAGTTCA